TCTTCTTTACTTGAGCTTTGATTGAAATAAACCAAAACCGATTTCACCATGCTGATTAACCGACTTTCCTGTCAGAAGCTTCTGGTCTTCATTGCCTGCATTTTCGTGGCATTGGACACTGCCGACGCTATTCAGTGTCTAAAGGGATATACCTACAGACATGGCCACTGCCAAAAGAAGAAGAATTAAATATTAAAACTCTCATCGAAAGAACTTTTTTCGCAAATGCTTTGAGAATGAAATATAAAAATACAAAATGAAAGTTTATGTTAAATTTTTGGGTCAAAGAAAACAAATTAACTTTTTGCCTATGATAATAAGAACGGGCAATCTCTGAATAAAGATAATTTGTTATCCAAAAATAAAAATTGGATTACTTTGACCAAATTTTGATTTTTTAAAAAATTTAGGAAACTAATATAATTTGACCCCGACTTTTGTCTCTCAAAGTGGCTCTTAAGTTGAATCAGAAACTAAAATTCAGGGCCTCAGTCCAAAATTCCCTATAAAGGGTCGGAAACGATCCTTCTCCCTGTTACATACTTTTGCACAAATACAATATACCCTTCTACTTTACGAGAAACGGGTATTAAAGAGTGTTGTTCATTTTATTTTAATAATTAATTTTTTTTTTCTAAGGTGGTTAACAACTTGTTTGCCTTTCCCATTTTGTACATATTTATCAGTAGCAAGCTAAAAAATAATTTAGAATCATTTGATAAGATATAATAATATTTTTAATGTAATATGTCCTATAAAAAAATAAAAAAAATTTGTTTAAAGTGGAAATGCTGATAAAATGGTAAACTGTGCTTTTATAAATATTTTAAAATTTTTCATTCTTCCAGCTATTACTCTTTCAACTCCAATTTTCTCCCAGTGCCCACAAGTATTTATATATAAAGATATTTGCATAACAGACGTAGACCGGATCGGAGCCCAAAAACTGTCATTGCCAAGGTTTTTACATCCGCTTGCCGCAATCATCGTCTGTTGCCGTTGTTGTACCAAAGGGGGCGGACTCTTAAGAGCCGAGGAGCGGAGAAGAGAAATACTACGGGGGGCTGGAACAATTCAATAATATTTATAGCGTCGTCTCATTCTCGAAATGTCCGCGGCAACATATGCAAGTGGATATTGCTCTATTTTCAAGTGGGATTCCATTATAATATTGTTGTAAGTAGCGGAAAGAAAGGGCCTGGCCTGCAGTATAAAGTGAAAAGGGGATATGCGAATATATGCAAATCGGAGGGCTCGGCCGCGTTGACACTTTGTGCCTCGAAATTTATTGGCATGTGCGAACAGACAGAGCCCGAAATGTAAGGATACTTTCACAGACACCACCCACTCATCCACTCAGCCGCTCGACATCCGAAATCGAAATCCACACATGGCCAAACATTTAAATGTAATTGCAAATATTTAAATTCAATGGGCCCCGTGCCAAAATATTGGAGCATTCAATTTATTACCGCCGTCGCCCGATTGGCAACACAAAATGGGGAAATGGCCGATTGATGGGCCTTTACGAGCGTTGTTTGGAATCCATTTAATAGCTCCTAAAAGGCGCTAATTATTTAGCCACATAAATCAGGGCGAACATGGGAAAAAAGGGAAAAATAAATTAAATCATTTGCAGCCGTTTTTCACTAATGCATAAGGCAAACCTTTAAGAAAAAATGCTGTATATTTATTATTATTAGTTTGCTAAACAAGAAACATAACATAGTCTAGGTGCATTTTATAAATCAATTTGGTTATTTAAAATTCAATAAAATACAATTTTTAATGTAGAACTCGGAGAAAGTAAATTGTAAATATTTCTAATTTTTACCTTAAAAATTTCAAGAACTATTTTTTTTTTTGCAATTTTTTATTTTTTTTTTTTTAACTAATATTAAATCATTTTGATTTCTAAGAAACCCTTTTTTTAATTTCCCTTTTCTAATATTTAAAATATATTAAGTTAGGTTAGTCTGTTCATATTAAGTGAACTAAGGTTTATAATCAGAGCTTCTTATCGATTCCAGCCGAAGAAAGTCCCAGATCCTGTCTGGCCGGCAAACAAATAAAAATGGTCATGCAATATTAATATTTATGCACAAATATTGGCTGTAGGGAAAATGGATTCGGGGAGTACAAGTTTGCTTTATCTAAGTGAAATGCTAAAAGATTGATGACTTTGGCGCTGGGGTTTCCTAGAGTATAAGCCTGTGTGTGTGTCTATGTTTCTGCCACGCTTATAAGAATTTATGGCAATCGTGGGCAAGGGAAACGCTGCGTATACGCAATATTTATATTTATGTATTATGAATCAATGCGAAAGGGCCAGCGAAGGCAATAAGAACAGGAGAAAAAAAACGAAACGAGTATAAAAGATGCGCACTAAAACAAAAGGATAACAATAACTTTTCGCAGAATGCGTGACGTGGTAAGCAGGGAAAAATAAAGGAAAATGGGGAAAAAGCCAAGGCGTTCTGGTTCTGGGGAAAGTAAATGGTTTTGCAGCCTTGCACAGAAAGGTCCATTGGGGCGGATTATGAGTGAGATTCGCTCGACTCGCCCCCCAAATAAAAAAAAAACAAAGTAAGGAACAGCAAATAGAGCCAAGTCATAAAAATTGCATGAAAATGGGGGCAGGAAATTCGGCCGCCCTCGTCCACTGACTCATATGTGCGGGGATTATCCGCCGGATGGGATACGCTGGGATCCCTCGTCCTTGTCTTCCTTGTTTATTTGTTTGGCTTTTACGCCAAAAATTATACTATTACAATCAAGTTTACGATTGCAATTCGCTGCCTCCGTTGAGTGCCAATGAAGGCGATGATGGCAAAGTACGAACACGATCATAGCCACTGCGTTTATTCCTGATGATGATGATGATTGGTTGGGAATATACATAAATTCACCGGGAAACGATTGCCTTCGGGGATGGAGATCTGACCGCTTGAGACTTCTCGGCGAGGAGAAAAAATTGGAGGAGGGAAAGTATTTTGTAAAATAAATTATAATAGGTATCTTTTGTTTTTAGCAACAGGGAAACCCAAGACATCATTCTTCCTACACTGATACTAAAATATTATATCAATATTTTCTTTAAAATTACATAAAAAAAAAGTCATATTTATTTACTTTCAAATTTAAAATTATCAAAGACTGTAAATGATTAAAATTATATCGAGAAATATTATAGCTAAACAGTTATTTATTTAATGAGTAATATATATTTTTATTTATTACGTTCCTTTTTTATCAGTGTAGCCTATTCCTTTTGCCTTCGAAGCTAACGTGTTTGCAGTGCCTAATTTCCCTCGAACTCATCTCTCGTCGAATTCTAATGTGCAAGTTGACTTTGTGCATTCGCGCATTGCCTGCCACGCATTTACCCCTCAACCCCTCAGCCCTTAACCCTCTAAGGCCCCTCGCCATTCGAGGGATGCGGCAACTACAGCCACCGCAGCAACAACAAGGACAACGGCAACAGCAACGCCAACGACAGGATATGGCAAGTGGGCAACTTTGGAGCAGGCGAGTTTAAATTGCCAGAGCTAAAAGGGTTGCCAACAACAACGCCGGGGAAAACGTAACTTTTTTCTGGTTTTCCCCTATGATTTTCATGTTTTTTTTCTTTTTTTTTTTGAAAACATCGACAAGCGGCTCTTTTGACTGCCATTACCCCCCAATTGCCACCCCTCGCAACTTGTTTTTTGTGGCACAAAACTTTGCACTTTGACATGCAGCCACGTGTGGCATGATGCTAAGAGCTAAAGGTGTGTGTGCGTCTGTGGGTGTGTGTGAATGAATGTCTGAGTATGGGTAACGGCGCGATTGTGTGCGTGTGAGGTAGTGAATTGAATGAGCTTTCAATGCTGCCTGCCAATTGGCTGACAAACGTGTCTAATAGTTTCCAATTGCAATCAATGATTTGTGATTGAAAGAGAGCAGTGAATTGATGCCATCTTGGGGAGCGTTTTATAAGAACTTGATTCACAAACCTCTGGGAACTCAGTTCTGGTTGAAGTTGAGACTGTGAAATTTGATATGCTGCATTTTTAGGCCTTTCATATCTAAATTTTATTATATATTACTTTCTATCAATGCAATTGTTCTAGTAACAGCTAAATATCAACTAATATTCAACATATATCGTTGCTTCCCTTTGCTTATCGCTTTTAGTTGTTGACTCACTGTCTTAATTTTCTCTGTGGAGTAATCAGCACGCAAAATACAGTCATTATAATCAACGACCTCTTGGTACAGTAAACACCCTCGCATAACGAATCCACGCGCACACGTGCGCACACTTGAAAAAAAATCTTTCTACTCGCATGAATATTTTAAAGCTCGCATCACATTCAAATTATGATAATGATGACGATGGGCGAGAGTGGGTTTTTTGCATATGACTTGGGGGTGAGGGTGTGCCATATAGAGGGTGTATGGAGCGCTAACGAGCGCAGGTACACTCAGGAGCTCAGGGACAGGGACCCAGGATCCGCGTTTGAGGACTACCCCTCTCGCAAACCCATTCCCACCCCAAAACACACTCTTCCCATTCCCCTCAGAAACGCTTTCGTTAATGCATTTCATTAATTTTTATACAATTCGAATAAGCATTGTATGTGCGAGGGTGTGTGCGTGGGGATAATGAGCACTTTTGTGCGGAGGATTTCGAAGGGGGAGGATCGTTAGAAGTCACTTGATGTGGCAACCCCCAGAGGAGTGACGAATGCACTTCTGGCCTTGAGCTTCTTAACTTTTGTCATTCAAGGTGGAGGTTTTGGAAATAGAGAAAATCGATACAAATTATAGAAATTTAATTTTAATGCCGTGATATATGAATAAAAATGTATATGTATCATTTAAATTCTTAATATAATTGTGTATATTTTGGGTTATTATAATTAACATCTATGCAGGAGGCTTTGAATGAAAGCCCAAAACTTTGTAACTCGAATTTCAATTGTTTATGTATTGCAAACTTTTCCAATTGAGTCATAATGGAGGAGACATTAACGACGGTGGATTCGCCGGATGTGAAGACAGTGGCCCCGGTTCCTGTAATCGACTGGGGAACCTACTCCTTTAGCACCACCGTCGCCACCACCACCACCACCACCACTGAAAAAGCGGCGTCTTCGGGTTCACTGGGTGTCGGGATCATTGTGCTAATTGTGTTCCTGGTGCTCCTGTGCTGCCTGTTCGTCATCTGCCTGCCGATCCTCTGCTTGTGCGGCTGCTGTGGATTGGCCTGCTCCGCCTGTTTCACCTGTGGTGGAGACGGATGTTGCGGTGATGGAGGTGAAGGTGGCGGAGACGATTGTTGTGGCGACGATTGTTGTGGCGACGATTGTTGCCAGGGCGGCGGCGGCTGCGGCGACTGCGATGGAGGGGACGATTGTTGCGATTGCAATTTAGACGATGATTAATCGGTCAGAAAGTTGAGTTACACATTATATGTACGTAGTCCTATGTACGTGATCCTATCTAAAACGCAATAAATTTAATGTGTATGTGCTTATAGAAACTATTAATAATTAGACTTTGGATATAAAATTAATAAATAAAATTTGTGTTCTATTAAATAAGTTTTGATTTTCGATTTAAACATTTTTTTAAATTAAGATAGCTTATAAAAATATATATAAAAAAGTTTATTAAAAAAAATGTAGATAAATATCTATTTGAATATACTTCCAAATATTTTTATTGGTTTCAAAACACGAATTCCAAAGCGCTATATTTAATAGTCTAAAAAAGTTAACTCGAAAAAAACCTAAGCTGATTCAGTAAGCTGCGACTGCGACCTCCTAAAAATTCGAATAATTTAAAAAACATCTGAATGTTTTTACAATATTTTTTGAATAAACGGAACGATCGAAATTCTTGAGCTGCTATGCGAATGACCGAAAGACGACATGAATTGAAAACTGCAGTAAGTTATGAGCCATTATTGTAATGTACCTTTCCTTCAGCACAATTCATTTCTTCTTAGAGGTGTCAATGTGAAACAGGAATTATCAAAATTGGCCAGTTTTCTCATTTGAGCTATGGACGAGTCGACGCCGATAACAACGTACATAGACTACGAAGAATTGGAAAGCAATGTAACAGTTGCGGCTCTGAAAACAACCACTTATGCACCGGCAACTTCCGTCGGCCTGTGGGGACTTTTGTTCATATTCGTCATAATATTCCTCTTCATTGTCCTGTGTTGCACCTGCATGGGTCTACTGGTCCTCTTTGGTTGTGTAAAGTCCTTTCTTTGTTTTCGGTGTCGACGTCGAGATGAGCAATAAATGAACGGAGATCATTGAATAATCCTAAGTTTCTACAAAATTCTACTGAGAAAATCATATATCATTTGTGTAAATTTAGCATCTATTATATGTCTATTAAACGTTATTTATTTTATATATACAAGTTATTGAAAAAATTATTAGTCTTCGATTCAAACTACCTTTGGCACAGCCACATGGCCAATGAAATAAATGTGATTTGGATTCTTGACCGCAAAAATGAATGGACGATTGGCCCAGAATTCAACGGGGGAACCCATCCATCTGCCGCCAAAGTCTGAAATAAAGGTTTATTTAAATTATTTAAATTAAATTAATTTCAAAATATACCATTTTTTCCTGTCTGATGGCTGAATTCGCTGATTTCGAAGAAGCTACTGTGCATCATAGTGCTGATTTTGTGACTTTTGTGCTCCTTCCCAGTCATTCCCCTCAAATCCGGATTCATGAACAGGGTTTTCACACCCAGTGGTTTGAGAATTGATTCCAAAGCGATCCTTGAGTGAACTCGGAACTTGGGTAGTTGCAGGTGTACGAACTTTTCCTCCAGACTCCTGCTCACCCACATGAGATCCACTTTGCTGATGAGGTTGCTCAGCTCGGAGAGACCCTTCTCGGGATCGCGGGGCATAACGATTAGCATGGAGAGCTCGTTGTTTTGGTATGGCACTTCGACCATTTCCGCATCCAGATCGAAATTTTCCCCCCAGCGGAATGTGCCAAAGGTTTCCATTGTGTCCACTGGGATGTCGAAACCATTTCCCTGGTAAAATGGTCGCTTTTTGGTATCATTGATTGAAAAGACACTGGCCCACTTGCCATGGAAATGCGCCGTATTGGCCACAACCATCTTGGTGTTCTTCCCGATTCTCGAGGGATGGAAGAGATTGTCCATTTTGTGGCTCGTCGTCAGGCGAATGAAGTCATTGATCGCATCGCTGGCTCCTTGGGGATTTCCGAAGTGCACCCTATCCGCCTCCCACTTCATGACCTCGGCTACCTGCTTCTGGTAGCCCTTAAGTAGGGGCACATCCCTATCGACAAACACCCGATTGACCATGGTCACATCGTCCAAAAATATGTCTCCATGGGCCACCTGCTCCATCACGTCCTCCAGCTCCTTGCAGTGCTGCATGCCGAAGAAAACGGAGCCCAGTGCCATGTTGGTCGAAGCTGGGGATAGCACAATGTTCCTGTGGAGATTTTTCCTTGAGGCCTGGTAGTACAATTTGCTGGCAAATTCATTTGATCGCGATAGTTTGGCCAGTAGAAAAGTAGTGGTAAAAATATAAACTGCAACGAAAAAATTTTATTTAAATAGATTAAACTGTTATTTAAACAAATAAATAATTGTATTCTAACAAAATAATTAAAATAAATAGAAATATTTTGACATTTGAAATTTAGAAAATTGTTGAAAATAAATATAATATTTAAATTAAATAAAATGTTTACATCTTGAAAGCCATAGAAAAATTAAAACTTAAACTTGCATAATATTTGGCTTCATTGTTATCTGTTTTAAGTTTAATATGGATTTTTACAATACATTTTAAAAATGAAACATTATATGTGTATTTTGAAATAAATTAATGACTTGTCAATGCTCTCTTTTAATTTTTCTCGAAATGAAATTCCATTTGACTTCGATTTTCTGGAGAGACTCACCAAATTTCAGAGCAACTTGCATCTTTCTGTGAGGGTCTTTGGGCAGCAAATGGGAGTGATTCGGAGAATCTTTGGCCAGAGTGCCAGTGTGACAAATGTAAACCGATTAGCCACAGCTGAGCCGATTATCAGATGGCACAAAGAAAATAACCCCAGGCAGTAGAGAGAATGCCCCAGGGCAGGAATTTTCCCATTTTCCTCTGTGGACTGTGGACTGAGTGCATAAATTCCGGGCATCTCCTGCAGCTGGAGGAAAGACACAAAACACTCGTCCAAGTCCAAGTCGTAAATGCACTCAGCACTTTGTCAGCTCTCAGACAGGAAATGCAGTTGCCATTTTTCTTTTATCCCTGCAAATCCCGCTTCCTCCGCCCCCCCGGAAAGTCGTTCTCCAACTGTCTACATTTTTCACTTGCCATCCATAAAAAGTATCAGTTTTAGTTTCAGTTTTAGCTCCTCACATGGCTACAAGTCTCGTATGTCTTCTGCCTGTCCGTTGGATCTGTTGTTTTGCTGTCTCAATTTCGCCAACGCTTCCATATTCAGTTTCATAATTTTTACCCAAGTTTATCATCCTTTTTGCGAGGCATGACAAAGTTTTCATTGCCGTCGACACGGGGGCTGGAAAAAAGTTTCCTCCAGCTGTGAAGTGCATTAAACAAAGCCCTCATACACACGATCTGTATTTGGGAGATGGGGAAGGGAGCGTGTTATGGAAAAATTGCATTCATCTGGGGGAAGTAAGTTAGTAAGTGGAAGGGCACAACAAGATAATAGCTTCAATGCACTCACTCACTTTTTACATTTATATCTTAAATTTATAAGTACAAAAGGATAGCACTATCTGCGTTTCCTTTTCTTTATTTCTATGAATTTGATACTTTATTGAGAGTTATTGCTTTAAAAGCAAAGTTAATAATATATATTTATTTTATTATTTTTCCTTTTTTTAATTGTTTTGTAATGAAGAAAATTATACTTAATGACATGAAATCATTTTTATCTCTCGTTTTATTTAGTTCAGATAAGGTTAAGTAATTTAAAAATAATTTTCTTTTTGCACAAAGGCTGTTTGCTGATAAAGTTCAAGGTAATGGTGGGTTATTATTAAACCACGAATTTTTTGTTTAGTTTACACACATATGAAATGTTTATACATAACTATTCTTATCACTTAATTGCCTATCTTATAGCTTAAAAAGTCATTCAACTGGGCTCGTCACTCGCTAATCTCTGAACTTGCCCAGCCATTTGACGAACTCCCTCAGTTTCTCCAATCTTCGGGGACCTCCACGTGTTAGGATCCTTCTCCACCTGCGCTCCACAGCCAAGCGATCCTCCCGATCTATGGACTCCAGGTGCTTCTTCAGCTTTCTGTAGATTAGCTTTTGCAGTTGAGCCGTTCGGGTTTGAACGGTTCGCTTCCAGCGATCGAATCCATTGCGCTGCAGGCAAAGTGCAAGCAACTGGGTCTCAATACTGGATGTCCTCAGCGGGTCCCCGGTGGTATCAGAATCAAGATAGTCCTCAATCACTTCATAAAAGGCATTCAGCTTCAGCTCTGTGTGATTTGCATTGACGGCAGTAAAGACATCGAACCGATCTAAATAGCCCAGAAGAATTGAGTTCTGGGAGTCCAACACAAGGAGATCTTCTACCACATAGTCCACCAGTTCAATTGCCTGTACAACCAGCTGATTGCTAATAGTTTGTATGGCTTGATCCGACTGCAAATACAATCGATGGCGACTCTGATCTCCATAGGCTGTTATCAACGCAGGAGCAAGCTTAAATGATATAAAAGTAGGTTAGTTTTAATATTTAAAATATAATAATTACTCTTAATATTGATTAATCTTGCCATAAAAATTAAAATAAATATAAATAAATTTTTTTCTTATAGTTAGATCATATTTCTCGACTTTCTTTATTCTTACCAATGCCAAAAGCAAAATTCCTAGGCTATTCTGAAAGCTCATGGTGATCTTGCTCGCCCAAAAGTCGTTCGTCTACTGACAACACTCTGCCCAACTCAAAGAACTGGGAAGCGTGTCAAATCGTAGATAGTCTTATCTCTCTGAAATTTCCCTGTCGAATCGGCGCTTGTCCGAATGATAGAATTTATTAATAAACTCATAAAGATGACACATGACGTCATCAAGTCAATGACGTTTCTCCTTGGGTGAAGAACCCGCAGATAAGTGATAGGCAAAGGTTTATTGGATTTAAATTTATGAATGGACGCCGCCAGGGGGCAGACAGTAGTTATCTGTACCGACATAACAATGATTGTGATTCAGGAAAGTGTCTGAAAAAGTTGGAATATCGCAGGTCTTTATCTTACACAGAGAACAAATAACCCATCAAAAGCCGAGAGATATGTGGGCAAATCTAAATCGCTTAGCAACTGAAGATGGCCGCCAGAGAAAAAAGCCAAAAGCTCGAAGTCGAAACTATTCATTGCGTATACGCCGCATGGGCCGTAATAATAGTGAAATAAAAGTCCACTTAGTCAGCAGTCAGTGGGGAAATGGAGGAAACGAAAGGAATGGCATCCTCATATGGTATGGGATATGAGGAGGTCATGCATTCATTGTGCTGGGGTTAGACCCTCAGGACAATCGACTGTGTCTGTTTCTGTGTGTGTGTGCCGTTGTGATAAATGTCTGAACTGGGTCAGTGGCGTACGATGATGAAACGCGGCGGGCAAAAAATGGCAAATAAAACGCCGATTGCTCGTATCAGAGTTTCGAATGAAATCCCTTATCCCCGCCATCCCCACTTTAAATGCCTCGCATTCGGAGTTCAGTTTTCGAGTGGCCGACAAATCCCCAATGTGCGCTGCAATTTCAACTTTGATAAGCGAAGTTTAGTGCGGAAAAAGCAGAGCCAACAAAAAAATCAAAATCATTTTCGCCCCCGCCATATGACAATGTTATTAGCGTAGTTTCTGCTATTTTCAGGGATTTGAACCAGTTTTTATGCCCTTTTTTGTTGCGCGGTTAGCGTTGCGATGGTAACTTTTGAGTGCCGCATGCGAATCCTGATGGATGGGAAAGCGTTGAACCAGACTAAAGCTTAATTGGGTATCTGCATTCAGGGGGCGGAATCTCGGGACTCTTTAAAGTTCCAGCAGTTAAAAAATCAAGGGAACATAATCAAACCCGAAGACTGCCAAACAATTACCTCCTTTGGGGCCGGAAAAATCCCTTACTCTCTATATGGCGAAACAATAACCGAGAAGTTTGCCTCCGGCAGAACAGCCCCCTAAAAACGCAAGTGCTATAAATTGCCCCAACAACGCCTGCTGTTCCTCCATAATATCCAAGCATTTCCATTTCCCCCTTATCACCCGCCCCGTTGCATGCAAATTTCAATAACTTGTATTCAGTAACCCTTTTTCGAGCAACTGACACTGAATATCAAATATGAGTTGGAGCCAAAAATTATTTGCATACTTTCGGGGATGCTTTCCGCCACACCAAAAAACACGCAGAGCGAAACAAAAAGAGTCTGAAAAAATAAAGATTGTATTTAGAGGGATTTTGACGAAGTTATAGGTTCTCTACAAAATATTTAAAGTGATTTTTCTTTCATATAATATTTTTCAGTGTAATTAAATGGAAACTGATTTGTGAAAAGACTGTTAGGGATGCTACCAAGTAAGAGTTTTTTTAAATATTTAATACTTTTAAAGAATTTAAATATATTAATAATCAATATTATATTTTATTAATATTTACAAAAAAGATTTCAGTAATAAAAATTTTAATAATTCAGAAATTAAAAAAGTTTATAAATACCTTCAGGTTTTGTGCTGTATAAATAAATTTTCAAATAACCAACTAAAAACTATACATTTTTTGTCCAAAACTTATAAGAACAAGGTAAAACCCCTTCTTATAGAGTAGCCCAACCAGAAGAGTAAGAACCCACAGGAACTACAAGCAGACTCGCACATGTGGCGCGCTTTTGGTTTTACCAGGGGGAGTGAAAAACCTAAACAGGAGCTAAAAAAGGAATACGGAAACACAAAAAAAAAAGGGGAATCGCTACATGCCTTTGTAAGGGGGTGTAAACACCAAAAGCAAAACCCCTTTCTTTATTTTTTTACACCGAAACGAGTTATTTATTGCATTTGCAAATTTTACACAACATTTTGCAGTTACCTCAGTGCCGTAAAATCCCCGGCTCTCTCCCCTTTTTTCTCCGCAGAAGGTGTAGCCGAAGTTTATCGCGGTAAAAATTGATTCAGTTTATACATATTTGCATGTGTATCGGGGAATCGGGGTGGCTCTTTGTAACACGAAGCTGCAAGTTCAATGAAGCCAAAAGGTGTTGGCTCCCCCATCCCTCAAGCAGTAAAATTGATGTGCAAATATTTTCATAAATTTGTATGCCAAAGTTTCAGGTGTCATGTTTGAAAACATCCCAGCGAAAACCCGAATTTTCCATAAAAAAGAGAAAAGTGTTCCACAAACTCCACTTCTCGCACTTTGGGCGAGTTCTGCAAATTTGATTTTTGCGGTGGCAATGAAATTTTGATTTTTCCCATTTCTTCTTTTTTTTGGCTGGTTGAAAAATTGCTGCGATAATTTTTGATAGAGCTGTAAATTTTCGTTGTATTTGGTGGAAGTACCTAGATTATTAAATTGCAAATGTAATTTATTGAGTCGTATAAATATCTTGGAATTATTTCTGACAATCGGTTAAAGTGGAAACGGAATTGGAATCGGAAAAATTATATAAGGAACAATAAGATGCTACAATTTTAAGCTTTTCCTTTCTTCGCTTTGCAACTTTCACTTTCTGAACCCTTTCTGTAGCATTTTTTCCGCAACCATAACTAATTCGCATGTCCTTCCGCTTGCCACTTATCTCAGCTGCTGTTATTTGGTAAAATATGGGGGATGTCATGCCAAATAAAGGCGACCAATAAAAAGTGTGGCCAAGATAAGCAAAGTGGCGCAGACAAAGCCGGCAAAAAAGGGGAAAAAGGCAACAGAAACCAGGTTGGAAAACAGAACAAAAGATGGCTATGATTTAAGTTTTCTTTTTCCCGTTTTTTCCTCCCTTTCGCTAGCCAAATTGATCAAGATATATAGGTGTATTTTGCGGGTAACCTGGTTAAGTGCACAGTCCGGCTGTCAAGATAAGTTCCTTGTTTTAGGTTCCCGGCTACACTTTAAGCCCCTTAATATGTATGTCCAACTTTTGTTTAACTTTTGTGCGGATTTCCTCGACTATACAGGTTAGCATTTCTTATTTTTTTCGTTATTCCTTCGTTACTCCGTAAGATGAATGCGTTTGCTTATCTGGTGGTCACTTTCCTCTGTCTCGGTTTCAATGTTGGGGATTCCCATTCCCGGATTTGCGGCTCCCGGCTTTCCTAGCCTGTCAAACGGTGTTTTAGTACCCGTTACGGGCTGCTCCTGTGTCCACCCGATTATCTCCCAGACTCTCGCCCCTTGGATCCCCATATCCCCACTTTATCCCCGTGTTGAAAGCGATATGTCTGCTCTGTGGGCTGTCCCTTGCCCTCAAGAATGGGATATCTTTCGGCCTGACAGCATCTTAACTAATATAATGCCCAATTTTCTGTGGTTTATGGCTTACAACTGTCAATGCCTCGTCCGACCATCCATCTAAGCATTTCCCTTTCTGGGCTTCGTTGGGATTTTTACGGGATTTTTCTAGCCATTGAAAGGTCGTTATTTAAATTGATATAAATGATATGTCCTCGGATTTTGCCTTTCTGTTTGTTTGGTCAGTACTGTAAGTGAATTTCAAATCGACATGAACGCTAAGTGACTTTGATTTATCATAGAGCACATGAGTTATTTACACACACGTTTGTGTCTCGACCATTTGACCACTATTTGAGCAATTCTCCTTGTCCTTCTGTTCCCGAAGTGCAAACAAAGTGTCCTGTGTATAAACAGCTGTTGGACCCGCATTCTCAAAATGTGGTGCATTTGCAAACAATTAGCTGAAGTGGGCCCTCAGATTTTGCCCACACATTCTGTATTTTCAATCACATTAAAGCCGGCATCGTCTCAGCGATATTTTATTGGGCAGTTTGCGCATCTTTTAACAAATTGCAGGACATTAAGTTTTTATGTTCGCCACCACTTGGTCCTGTTGTTCGAGTGTTTATCTGGCATCTTCGGCTGTATCTCTCTGGATCTTAATGGCGTCTCTATATCGCCATAACGAAATTTCATTTAACTCGGGCAATTAAAATGCCACTGAAATCGTTATTCAGATGGCTAGCTGCATTTAATGGAAGCCACTCATCCTTCGATTTCCTGCACTTTATGACTTATGCGCAAGTTTTTCCGAAACATTTTCCGAGCTAATTAAACGCGTAAGAGAGAAAGCACACAATGTTGCCTCTTCGCCTTTACTTTCCCTTTGGGCGTTCAGAAGAATAATGTCGAAATATTAATTACTTGCCATTATTTACACGCCTACATCCGTGCGGCCCTCGAGACGCAGACTCAGGTGTTTCCTTGATGTGGTGGGATTTTCAGGGGGTGTTTCAGTGGGTGGTGGGTGGTTGTGTTGGCTGGCTATATTTCATCCCACAACAAATACCCCACAATCATTCAAACGCAGACACGGGGGATTTGTCGCCGTCTAAGCTGCGCGTTGAGTTGAACAACTCAATGAGTGGCGGGGACCCAGTTTAAATGAAAGTGAGCTCCATTCATGTTAATTATTTAGAAAGCATTCAGATTTATTTACTTAATTCCTTTGTTTCTTCTTTTTGTTTGTGCTTTTGTTGCTCTACATTTTTTATTTGTTCTTGCAGGTGGGCTAGCAATTGTTTTATCACCACGGTATCTATGGAAATGCTGTGCAGTTCAGCATGGAACTAATTTATTAAATCACAAAACTTAAACTTTTACATTTTGCGGCTTACTTTTTTTACGTTCTCTGTCAATTTTTTATATATTTGTACACTAATTAGAGCAGTAAATTTACATTAAAACCCAACAAATTTATTGTTGTGCGCAGAAAAGAAAATAATAATTATTACTAATAAGATAAATTTAAGTGGTTTTTTAATCGTAATTCTGTCAAACCAAAGCTCCTGTTAATTTAGCTAAGTCTCTGCCTAAGGGCTCTGAAATCGTTTAATTGTTTTACTTGTTTTTAAAAACTCTCTAGTTAAATGTAAAATCATCGAAATAAAGCTGTAAAAACTATCTTTTAAACGCTTTAAATTTTGCTGAGGATTTTGGCAACTCTGGCACACAGTGCAGTTTACATTTGTTGTTTTGGCAATTTGAGAGTCGGAAAATTCCTGAAATTGTGGATTTTATTTTACCCAGCAGAGGTATCGTCCTGTGATGCAGCTCAAATTGTATCCCTTCACCAGAATTTAACAGCTTTAGTGGAGACCAACAACTCAGCACAATTGACTGGGCAGTAAATATTTTACTTACTTTGGTTTACTGAGCCACATATTTGCACCCCCTGCCAACCTACAATTTTTTTTCCTTTGTCCTGCTGTAGGCGTTTTGGGTTACTTACTTATGTGGGCGGGTGTGTTTGTCGAGCACTTGTTTCGGCACTAGATTTATGCCGTTTCTTCTGCAGCTTCGGTTTCAGTTCACTGGGGCCACTCCCTTGGCAAGGATATACAAGTATTTTATTTGTTTTACATGGATTTTAGCTTTTCTCGTTTGCTGCCCAGCAGATTTGTCGTATTTCATGGGGGCAAAAAAAAGAAACGAAAAGGAAACAAAGGCCGAGTTCATCTAGGTAAATCCCTAATTTATTACGGGCTGCACACAAATTTCCTGGTTTTGTTGCCACTTTGTTCCCTTCATTTGCAGTTGATAGTTGATTAGAGTGAAAAGAGCGTTTTTAATTTCATGTTTCATTTTATTTTCCATCATCATTCTCTTCAGTCTTCGTATAAGAAATAACATTTTTGTTGTTGTTGTTGCTGTGGGTGTGTCTATCATTTAATTAAATATTTTTGCGTATATCATATTATTAGATTTAAACTTACGGTTGTGTGGCTTCTATTTGCCTTTTCCCTTGCTCTCGTTTTGCTCCTTTTATACACAAACTGGTTTTTATTTATATTCCGAATTTAGTTTCGTTTTCTGTCTGTTTTTCTAAATGCATTTCGTGTGCATTGCATTGCCTTTTGATTCTGCTTATTTATTCTTTACTTTTTATTTTCGAAATATTTTTACACTGGCTTTTTGTGTGCTCTGTGTGGCTATTTTATGCAAATACCGGTTAGTTTTGCTTTAGCTATTCGCCATTTGCTATTTGCCTTGCTGTTGTCGCATTTAATTAAATTATTATTCGCAAATCAAACTCAACCGAAAAATAACAACAAACGAGCTTTGATTCTGAGTTATTGCTTTTTGGAAATCATTTATTCTTAAATCAATAATCTATGCACTTGACTAATGTTTTTAAATGCATTTCCATAAATTATTTACACATAAACGAGAGAGCACATTTGCAAAGTGCCCCACCACTGAGGGATATATATTTACAAATTATATTTATCATTTCGTCAACTTTGAGTTCTGGCTCACTAAGATATACATACGTTAATATAGGCGTTACATATAATTTAATTTTTTAGTTTTCCGCTTAATGTTCTTCTTCATTTTTTCGTATATTGTCATTCGAGATGTTTGCTAAAGTTAGGAAAGTTGGGAATACGGTTCAGCGGGCCAGTGAAAAGGACCTCTTTGGCAGCTGGATTCATTCAGTTAGTTCTAGGCTGGACTGGACTGGACTATTTGGTCCCCATTAGGTTATTTTGCCTGCCAAAGTCTGTGTCTTTTCCCGAAAATAGCCCGAGTGCTGAAGACATATTCGGTAATTTCGTGAATCAAATCAGGAAAATCCAATAAACTCCTTTAGCCTGCACACACTTACTGCTAATATATATTTCATATAATATATATATTTAAATTCACTTGTAAGTTGCTTAACCACTAGATGCTATCTATTCGAATTCGAATGCTAAATGCCATTTTAACTATGAGTGGGAGAGAAAGAGTGAGTGATCTGAGTGAGAGATTTTTCGAATGCAGCTTAGCTTAGTTTTGGGGCCAGCAAAAAGGTTTCTTTGAAATCGTATTCTTCTCTTAGTGCTAGCGGTTAGTATACATATCTAATATATCTGGTATCTGTAATGTTCTATCCATAGGTCTTTAAGAGTATTTGTATGCTTGCTATACACGTAGACATATCCCTTGTTTCATTTGACGCTTGTTAAACTTTGTTGTTTGTTTTTAATTCGAAAAAATGTAATCCAACCTAAAGCACTATGATGGTTGATTTTAGGAGATAGTTTCGATGATTTACGGGATTTCAGAAGGTTAGAATTAAATGTTAGTAATACGTTTTTGTTTTTTTTCAGCTGAAATCCCAGAACTCATCGATATGTCCCCCAAAAACCATCCTAATCTCTTCTTAGCCTAACCTCTCACTTTCCCTGTTTTTCGCTCGACCAAACCCCCTTTGATTTGGCCCACTCAGAACTGACCGCTGACCCTTGGTGCTCTGTACACAGCCCCTATAGTTGTTGTTGTTATTGTGATTGGGGTAGCCCTGGTAGTGGTTCAGTCCGACCATCTCGATATCCGTGTTTAACTGGGATACCCTTTCGCCCTTGCCACGCCCACGTCATACGTAGACCACATGCGGCTTGGCCGAGGAGGGCGGGATGGGCGAGGCTCCGGCCGAGGAGGAGTTGGTGTTGGTGGTGGAGTGGTTCAAGGCCGCCGCCTGTTTCAGCTTGCTCATGGTGTGGGTATCAGGATATTCGTAGTGATCGAACCGCTCGTAAAGATGCTCCGGCTCATCGTCCGCCTCCTTCACAGGCAGTTCCCAGGGCTCCAAAGCCCTGTACTCATTGGCAATGGTCTGGGCAGCCAAGTAGCGCTCCAGTTCCAGTTTATCCAGCTGCGGCAGCGTCGTCTGCTGGTAGTCATGATTATTGCCATGATTCGATTGCAGTGGCATGGCCTGATGGTAGTGATGGTGGGCCTGCAGGGTCTGGGCATGATGGGGATAGTTCAAGGTCATGCCCAGGCCATTCACATGGTTACCACCGCCCAGGGTCATGCTCATGCCCATGCCCAGCCCAGCATTGTGACCCTGGAGGATGCGATCGTGGACGTTGATGATGCTCTTGCTGGTCCTCAGGGGACCCCGTTCGTGGAGCAACTTCCTGCGGCGCTTTACAAACCGGAGGTAGTACAGCACACTCACTCCAATCATGGCCACCAGGAGGCAGGTGATCACCGCACACACCACGGTCACAATGTGGGCGGGGCAGGTGATCTCGCCCTCGCTCATCGAGAGCAGTTGCCTCCTGGTTCGCACTTTGTCCCGCCAAATATCGCAGCCAATCTGCTGGCGATCCATCCGCAGGATGCCCGAGTTCCTGTTCGAGGACGAGGTGGCCAGTTCGTAGGCACTGGGTTCGGTGGTATGCAGGGCATTCACTATATGCTGCTCGGCTATGTAGGCAGCCAAGGCGGAGACACCATCGTCCGTGGAGGATGCCTCATCCGCCTGCTCCTCGTCGTCGGCTTCCTTGGCCAGAGCAGCCACTGCTCCGCCGGCTGAGGGTTCCATTGCCGGATCCACTCCCTCGAAAGTTCCCCGTGACCAGTCGCCAGAGCCACAGCAGCGAGCAGTTGCACTGCAGCGGATTGTCGCCCAAGATAGAGCTTCTGCAGCTGATCCACCGGGAACTGGGCTGAGTACAGGGTCTGCAGGCTGTTGCTCTGCATGTAGACCTCCAGGATGTTGGGGTTGCCCTGGAACAGGCGCATTGGGATGTCGCTCAGCTGGGGATTGTTGTTCAGGTGCAGCGTCTGCAGGTGCGTATTGTCCACAAAGGCTCTGGAAAGGGAGAGAAAAGGGGAATATTTTAATTAATATGGAAAAATGTATGATTTTTCAAAGGGTCATTAACATAAATGTGTTTGACAAATGCTAAAATTAAATAAAGTATCCCTTATTTTATTAAACGTGATTTTAAAAAGCCAGGATATTTTAATTATTCGGGAAAAATGGTAAATTAACATTAAATTGTGTAAGAGGTCAAGAAATATAATTAAATTATTTTAATGCAGCTTCAATCCTGAAGTTATTGTTACTAGAAGTATTAAAAGGATTTTTAATAATCATTATTTTATTTGTAAATTTTTTTTTAAAACTAAAAACGATTTATCTAGAACCGCAAACATATAAGGCGTTAGGGTAATATTCCATGACGACTTAAATTCTTCTTTCAAGTCTATAGAAAATATTTAAAATAACTCCAATTAAACTTTTTAAAAATATAAGGATGGAGAAGAAGAACTCCCACAGTGAGTGCTTTTATTAGCCAGACTGACTATCTTTCTGCGCCATTCGTCCTGCCGTATTTTTTTCCTATTTTATTTGCCCGGCTGCAGTACACTGTTCGTTTTAATTATGCACACTGCACGATGCATCAGCGTTCAACTTAAATGCCAGGCAATGAAATACATGAATAACATACATACGCTCAGCAGTTTTCCCGGCATTTTCCGGCGACACACTCGCACACACAGTCGCAATCGCACACACATGACAACGTCAGAGCTTCGACTTAAGCGACATGGATTTATTTAGCCTGCGTCTATTTCAACTTAATAAAAGAGGAGGTGGATGAATGGAGGGGAATAAAAAGGGGCCAGAAGGACGAAGGACGAGGAGGAGGCAGCAAGCTGACAAGGCTCCATGTTATTCGAGCTCCGTGGAGCGTTGTCGTAAATCCCTGCCAAGTTAAGTCAACGCGCTAAGTCGCTGACTTGGAGGAAAAGGATGAAGGGTTGCAAGGATGTGGGGATGCAGGGATGCTTGGATGCAGGGCTCCAAGGATGTGTGTGTGCTGAGCAGAGCAGTGCATTACCCGATACCTAAGACCCCAGAACCATCGCCTTCACCAGACAGCTTCAGATGTGGCTGCAGCTGAATGAAATAAGTGCAACGTGGCGTATGAGCAACATTCGGCTAGCAGGCTCCTCGCCGACTCGACTCGACTCGACTTGACTTACTCCGCTGACACAAAGCGAATTTGTCGCTTTTAAGCGTTCTGAAGAAGGCCACATTTCATTTCAATACTTGCAGCTTACAGCTTGCGACTAGCATTTGATGTTAAATGAACGCATTTATTGCACAAGTTGCAGTTGCCGTTGCATTTCCCAAGTTCCCAAGTGGCCACATTTTGTTAAATCCTTCGGGGGCCATAAGTTTGCTGCGAATTCATTCGACTGCATCGGGTGATGAATTCGAATGGCAGTGGCAATGAGAACGAAAATTGTTTGTCAGCAGTAAAGGGTGGAATTCATTAGGTTGACTGATGTCCTCAGGGATTGGCGAAAATACACTTTGAAAGTTTGTCGTTCTAGATAATAAATATGTCTGAAAGTTATATATTATGTCTAGAAATCGAACATCATGCAATATCTAGCAACAGTTGATTAAAGATAAACTGTTCTCAAAAATTTAAAATTACTTTTAGATTTTTTAAAAATGATTAATCCTATCTAAGTTTGATTGAATGGAAAACTTAACAATACTGTCATACCTACTATTTAAATAATATTTATTTGAGTTATTAAATAAAAAAACCCAGTTTATTATACATCTTAAAAATCAGTAATTTTAAGGACTGGTTTTTCTATTAAATAATTCCTAAAAGTTTTCAGTTACTAAAAAATATTTGCCAACAAAACGGAATAATTCTTAAAACTCCCCTTCTTTTAACCCTTGTAAATTCTTAAAAATCTATACACCACGCCAGACACACTTATCACAACCATACAATTCCCACCAAATCGCAACCCTATTTACCTGTACTCCACTACTATCTTTCCACCTTTTGCACATTCAATTTCATGGCAAGTTTAACATTTAACTTAACTACGAGAAGGGAAAAAAAACTTTTGAAAAACCTCAATTGCAGGCGATCAACGTGAAAAAAATGGGTCTTTGCATTACCAAAACAAACTCTGTCTGCGAACGACATAAGCCGAAATTTACCCAAAACAATTTAGCGGGTAGCGCACAAGCCGCACGAGCAAAAAATAAATTCAATTATTTGTGCAAATATTATGCAAATATCCTGGGGAAGGCAGAGCCAACACGAGAACGTGACATCTAAGGAAGATTTTCGGGGGCCCCAGAGATGCCACAGGTTGATGATTTTACCTCATCGACCTGTTGTTGCCCGGCCCTCAAAAATGCAACTGCCTAAAAAACCAAGTGACAAGGCAAACAAAATGGCGGTAAAAATGGATGGTGGCGGAGGGGGGAAGATCCACCTTTTTGCTGTTTGGCTTTGGTTTTTGGTCTGTTTGGTGGCGCGATTCAAACTTCATTTTGCATGTTTCATGTTTTCGACTCCCCCAATTTTGGGATTCCTTTTTTCTCGACTATTTTGTCTGCGTTTGCCAACGTCAAACGTGCGGAAACGGAAATGGCTGCCATGTGTGTGTGTGTTTCGTGTGTGTGTTTGTGTGAGGCATAAATGTTTGCCTTGTTCCGATCCTTCTTTTTTCCTTTTATGCAAATTGCTCATGTGTGTGCGTGTGTGTTTGTGCGAATCTGAATTGGAATTGCTCGAAATCCGATTGAAATGTTTGCTGTCCATGTTCGCTGGGTTCAGTCACGACTCCCAGGACTCACAGGACTTTGCAGAGAATCAGAGTTCAGTCACATCGTCAACTCGATGGCAGGACGAACGGGTATGTGTATATTCGCCTGTCTGGCCAGTCAATCAGGCAGTCTGTCAAACAGTTTGTCAGTCAGTCATTGCCTTTCTGATATAGTTTTGAATGGCAGTCAATCCTTTCGGTCGCCCAACCTCCACAAATCCCCTGTTTTCTCTCTCTATTCACTTGATTGACGTTTTAACTACATCAAAATATGAAAGGATAGGCACTCGATAAGCTCGGAGGATCCCAGCTCCTGGGTTCAATGAGCTCGCTGAATGCGGCTATACCTTTCCAATATTTTGCCATCCCGAAACCGATAATCAACTCACATGCACGCAATCTTGAAAAGCTTGGGGACACATTATCAAACGATATGGCCGCGCAATTTGTTAATGACATTTTAAACGTTTTTAAATTACGTATACGCCCCTTATAAGGTCCTTTAATTTTCTCAAGTGGGCGTTGTGACAAGAAATTGCTGCGTAGAAAAATGCTAAACGGCCTCCGTTTTTGCCCCTTCAATTTCACATAATTATGGTTTGTTTACCAACAATAAAGTAAGCAAAAGCCTTGGTCAATAATGAACAAAAAAATAGTTAAATTTTATTTACAAATGCTTGTATTTCTTCAAATTAAATCAAATAAAATTAATTAAATATATTTGTTATTAAGGTTAATTTTTTTTCAATAAAATACACTTTATATTTAATCAGGTACTATTCACAGTTTTTATTGTCAATGCAATTAAAATGCGTAATCCCGTTTAAAAAAAAACCCCCAGCCTTTAAGCATCTCTGTCTGCTAATGATGGCAATTTGTCAGTGTTTTTTCCGCCCTATGAATATGTTATCTAATTATGTCACATAGAAAATGTGTGGAGAGCTAATTAAGCTCGTACATCAAATGACGACATTTATGACAAACACACTTGGCCATTTTCCTGGTTTGCTTTCATTTTGCTTTTATTGCCGGCGACATTTGCAGTGTTTCCCATTGAAAGACGAGAGGTCAACGAGTGGCCATTAAACGGAGCTCTCAATACGATTATCAACCGTAAAGTCAATGACTGCCGTTTGCAGGAGTTCTTTAGATTTTTTTTTGCACTGCCCTGATTAAGAGAAACGTTGATAAGAATTATGTCAGCCTAATGAGCCAACAACGGAGGGAGAATCTTAATAAACAAGAGCAGGGTAAATATAAACAAAGGGCCGAGTCAAAAAAGTTGCGACCTTTTGTGAGCAAAAAGTATGCAATGCATATTTTTCCAAGAGACAGTGAGGGCCAACAGAAAAAAATGCAAACAACAAAACGCCGAGGAAAAGACGAAATGAAGGCAGGAAGAAATTACGGAAACAGGAAAACATAAACATGTTGCGAACCCCCGAACCCCAGCCATATTTCTCCATAAATTATGAGCTGGGAAATATTTCAAGGCGGCAACTCAGGACCCGAGTAGCTATTATGCGTATTTACCAGCAGAAGAAGGACGTCTAAGCCAGTCCGTTTATGCATATGCATGTTCCGCCCCCTTAACCCACTGCTGCACTTGAATTTTCCTCGCCAAAACGGCGAGAATTTGAATTTAAATAAACCTAAACTTTTGCATAATGAGCCAGCAGCATTCGCATTCGCTACAGGTGAGAGTGATGAAAGGAAACTCGAGCTCCAGAGTAACCAACTTAATTAGCAGTGTTTTTTAAGTGATTCTTTTTAAATGGAAAACAAGACAAGTGGCAATTACCAAGAAATTGGACGGAATACATTATGAAATGGAGAAAAGTAGCTAATGAAGGAGATAATTGGACCTGCTTACGGAAATAAATAATTTATATTTTTCGCAGGCCAACAAATAAACACCTCGAAATTTATGAGATGGCAGCAAAGTGAAAAATTGGTCTAGAAATTTATTGAGGTTTTTTAATGTGAAAATAAGTTTAAAAGCTTTAAATTAGAAATTCCTGGAAATATTTTTTAACGATCCATAAATATTGTTGTTGGAATAATTTTGTATACCAAGAAATCAAGTTTTAAGTTCTAATGAAATGCGTGACTATAGTTTAATATTATTTTTTAAATTTTTCAGAGCTTTTCATTTGTTTAATATTTTAAATCGTTAGTAGGTATTTTGAAATTACGAAATAATCCGCTTTGTAAAATAATAAGAAAAGTCTTCTTTAAAATATGTTCTGTTTCCTTTATCCTTCATCCTTTATCCCAAAGACTTTATTTCTAACCCATTACAGTGAGCACAGTCCATTACACTCCAATTTAATTCCCAATTGTCGCATTCAACTCCGGGGCATCCATCCTCATCAGAATTCAGAGCGCAGTTGGGAGGTCGGTCCCCAAAATTTGGGGGCCTGCAACCCCAAAGCTGCCGCAAAACAAATGTCACACATGACCCCCCGAACCCTCTCCGCATAAATTTTAAAACAATTAGTTTCAATTTTGAAATCCACAACCCAATAAACCGGGCAACACCTACCGTCCTTTTTCCAGAATGACTTTCTGCTATTAAGTCATGTTCACTTTCGCATTCCCTTTGAAAATCTGAAACTCCTGTTTCGAAGGGTTGTTGGTTTTTGGAAAGGGGGTGGTGTAGGGGGTGAAAGTGGGAGGACAACGTGCTGCTGCCTAATGAATTTTGCAAGGACTCGCGCTGATTGTTTAGGTGTAAGGATTCCATAATGAGCAGCGATCCGAGGGTTTTTGGGAAAGGGGAAGGTGAAATCACACACACGGTCCTTTTGGGGAAATGTATCCTGTCGCCCCATAAACTCAACTATCAACGTGTCGCCATCGCTGCTCGTCCTTTTCCTTTCCTTCTCCATTTCCTCCGCCAACCTGTCCGCATTTCAGATTTCCATTAACGCATTTGCATAAATATTTACATGTATGTCTGTCTCTCTATCTCTGTCTTTGGGGGTTCTTATGTCTATCTCTCTTTAATTTAAAATGTTTCGCCTTTTCCTTAAGGGTGCAAATGGTGGAAGTTTGTAAAGGTAACAATTTGTCTGGCAGCCCCTTTTAATATTTTGAATTTTTCCCTTACCGTTCACCTATCATGTACAACGCGTATAAATAAACCATACTACCCCTATTTTTAAAATTTGCCAAAATCACAAACTCCAAAATATTTATCGTCATATTTTGTTTATAATAATCCTGAGGAATTTCTAAAAAATGTAACCTATTTTATGTTGTAATAGTTCTGCAAAGTATTTTATTCAGGCACACAATAATTTCACAAAATTAGCATAAGGAAGCAAAATCCAGCGAATTTTAGTTATCTTTTGTTCGTCAGTCAGTCAAGGCAAACACGAATTTAGTTTGCAAATCAGTCAACACAGACAGACACACCACGTAGTACTTGTATACATATACAGTCATATGTAAATGTGTTTGTGCAGATTGAGCAACAATTTCAACAGTCTGCGAACAATGTAGAGGGAAAAGTTTACACAAGACTGAGACAGAGACCAAACAAAAGCCGAACAAAAAGCAAAAGCAATTACAAAGGCCAATAGAGGGGGGTGCTGGGAAAGTGGGCGGGAAAATGGGGGTGCAGGATAAGCCCGAGCCAAACTTGGGCCAAGAAAATCAAACGAAAATTCCAAATTAAACTCATTTAAAAGGCATACGATGCTGTCTGCTTTCCCTTTCCTTCAAAGGGGAGTCCCCTCTCCGTTCATCGCTTGTCATGTTAGTCATGTTAATGTCATTGTAAAGCGGCATGTCGCCCAGAGGGGGCGTGGCATGCGGCTGATGTATATCCACCATATATTGCTACCTCTTCCACTGTCGGTGGTTGATTGACATGGCCTCAAACTCAAAGGAAGCCAGAGACGACGAGACTCGTTCATTGATTTGATATGAAAATTGCCCGGAATTATTGAATTAACATATGCTCGAGTTGAGCTCAAGCATTTCTCCCTGCCACGCCCCCCATTGCCGCCCGCCCCTTTCGTTGAGAGGGCTTGTGTGTGGTGGCATCTTATTACCAAAAGCGTATTAGGCATGATTGATTGCATTGAGCAATAATGATTTGTCTGCCGCTTAGTTCTGCAGCTGAGTACGCGGCAAAATTAATTCACCAAAATGTTCAGAAAGTCAGGAGAATCATTTAAAGTATTTATAAGTCATTACCGTATAAAATAAGAAATCAAACTGATTTTGTTTATATTAAAAGCTCTCTTTATATATTTATTTCCATTAATACTTTGATTATCATCTTGTTAATACTATAGATTTCTGGGAAATTTTGTGAAGATTATTTTGTTCGTAAGAGAGGTAATCAATACTGTGTATGTAAAAAGCTCTCTTGCTCTCCGCGGATTCTTTTGGGTCTTTGATGTAAGTGATCAGTACGACAGCTACTTATTTTGTGATCATTTCTTGAACGGAAAAGATGTGCGGTTTTGTGACGTTAATTCTTATCGCGGTGATCATTTTCCAAGAGGGTTTCGCTCAGCTTTTGGACGATGATTGTGATGGTCCAAAGCGGATAGGCTATAGAATAATGAACGGGGTCGACGAGTATACCGCTCCATTTATGGCCAGCTTGTACAATGGTACCGAATTCCTGTGTGGTGGAACGCTTATACACAAACGTAAGAAAAATAAATATAAAATCAGGGCCATTTATCAAGTTAACCTGTTCTTAGGATTCGTACTATCGGCTGCACATTGTTTTCAATTTCGTTGTGGTGCTAGGTTTGAACAAGGAAGTAAGAGAGAAAAGTGATATTCAACTTATGAATATTTAATAAGTAATACTTTCTGTATTCCACCTTAATTCAGGTTGTTTTCAAGATTTGGATAAAGTGTAAGTACTGTTAGGAAATTTGTTGTACAGATTAATTTAAAGACTATTGTTTAAACTGTCTTAGAAACGTCAAATTGGGAGAAAACAACCGATCGTGTCCGCCATCGAAATGCCCTCACGTCCAGAGTCGTGTTGGTGAAGTTATAAGTCATCCCGGTTTCAAAAAAGGGAACGGTGATGATATAGCTCTACTAAAACTGGACACTGAAGTGAGTTTTAGTGGTAAGCTAAATAAAGCTTAAAAAAAGGTTCCTGATTTCAGGAAAATTCATATATTTTTCATCTTCAGAGAAAATGCGTCCGATTTGCATTATCCTTGATGAGGAGGTAACATCCGATGGAATCGACATCTTCTCTTCTTATGGATGGGGTATTACTGAGAATTACGTGGCAAGTGATCAACTGAAGTCCGTCATTCTCAACCGACAAAAATGCCATCCGGGTAAAATTTGCGCTGGCGGGAATCATACAGATACCTGTACCGGTGATTCTGGAGGACCACTGGCAGCGAACACAACATATAGAGGTAAAACTGTGTTCGTAGAGTATGGTGTAGTAAGCCACGGGTCAAGAGGCTGCACAGGCCGTGGGATATATACAGATGTTAGTGCCTACAAATTTTGGATAGCCAATACCGTGCTAGAATCAGAACCAAGACTCTTGACTGAGAGATGCAGAAGCGATTGGGGAGGTCAAGTTTTTATCCGCCTATGGGAGATGTCACTATTTCAATATAATTTCTATGGAGCCCTAATCACAAACCGTAAGTAGCAATGCTAGACCCTTTAATCACTAATTAATATTTTTGTAAATTTATAAGAATTCGTCCTCACTGCTGCGAGTGCTTTCCCCTCAAATGTCTCTAAAATGTAAGTTGTAGCTTTCACGGGGATAAATATTGTACACTCTTTTAAATATATTTCCCTTTTCCTAATTATGTTTATATTTTTGTTTAACGCAGACAAGTAGAAACTAAATACTCCGAGTTTTATGATGTAGAATGGTTTCATCGGCACCCCGATTTCACATCCTCACCATCTATAAAGAATAACATAGCCGTGATCAAGCTGGCTAAGAAGATCCCAAGATTACGTAAGAGAAAGATATGACTGGGAACTTCGTTGTAATAAAAATATCTTTCAGTTCAAGATCTTGAAAAACCGATCTGCTTGGGTCTGAACTTGAGTCCCCCAACGACGTGGAATGCTTTCCTCTACAGTCTCAATGACGCTTTTTTGGGCATTAAAATTGTGGACTTAAAGAGGATCAATAATTGCTCTGCCAGGACCAAATTGTCTATAGAACATGACCAGTTCTGTATCGAGAAGCCTGATCAATCCATGTATGCACCTTATGAGACACCTGGCTCTGCGATAGGTACTATTAAAACGTTTAAGGGTGCCGGAAAATATTTTATTGCTGCACTGATAAGCCATACTCAGGATGATGTAATCGTCCTCACAAATATTCAAGACCACCAAAAATGGATTGCGAATGAGTTGAAGGATATATGAATGCGATTTATATTTATTATAAATAAGAAATCAAATAAATTATCAAACGTGGTTTTTGTTTTGGATTAAAAAATCTAACAGATAATACGAGCGGATTCGTACTTAAGATTACTTATCAGGTCCAAAGAGATCAGATTTTCCTATATGAGTACCCTTAAAGATCTCTCACTTAAAACACTGTGTTTTTAAGCTTGAAATGGGAAAGTACTCAATATTGTGTCTGGAGAAAGCTTTCGAGCTTTCTTTTGTTTTGGTTTTGGGTCCTCTTGGAAAGTGATCAGAATGCCAGCTACTTAGTCAGTGATTATCAGTTGAACGGAAACGATGTGCGGTTTCGTGTCGTTAGTTCTTATCGCCTTGGTGCTCTCCCAAAGTGCATTTTCAGAGCTGTTGGACGACAATTGCGGGGGACTGACGCAGTTAACCTACAGAGTAGTGGGCGGAAGATTCGAGTATGTCGCTCCATTTATGGCCAGCCTCTACAATGGGACCGAGTTTGTTTGTGGTGGAACGCTTATACATAAAAGTAAGGAGAGGATTATTAAGCTCAGGGATATTTATTTAACTCGTACTTTTTGTAGGTTACGTTCTAACAGCTGCTCACTGTGTCCAATATATTGAGGAAATGTAAGTACCACTCATAAATTTTAGCCTAGATGAAGTTTAGTTTGTTATTTCTACTATATTTCTTAGAAACGTTCACTTGGGAGAGATCGACAGATCGTGCTCACAGACCCAGTGCCCGCATGTCCAGCACCGTATTGCTAAGGTTATCGCTTATCCCGGTTTTAAAAACATGTTTGAGCATGACATAGCTCTGCTAAAACTGGACAAGGAAGTGAGGTTCAATGGTAAGTAAATAAAATCTCGGTAAGAATATTCACACAAAGAAAACTCCTCCAAATTATTCCGGTCGGATTTTTGAATTTGAATAATCGCTTATAGCTCCACCTTTAACTCATTTATTTTTTTTATTTTGTTCTATTCTTGAAATGTACCAAATTTCAAAATTGTACAAATGTTTTAATTTCCCTTTTTGGCAGAAAATATCCGACCGATTTGCATCATTCTCGATGAGGAGGCAACTTCAGATGAAGCCAGCACATTCTCGGCCCACGGCTGGGGTAAAACGGAGACTGAAAAGGTAAGTGTTCATCTGAAGACCGTCACACTCTACCGATTGGACCGAGGAGAATGCCCGTACATCCGTGGCGGCAACACTATTTGCGCGGGCAGTGAAACGGGCGACACTTGTCACGGCGATTCAGGAGGTCCGCTGGCAGCAAACACCACTTACCGAGCAAAAACTATATACGTTCAGCATGGAGTAGTTAGTTACGGTGATGGGGAATGCAAAAACTGGGGCGTCTACACAGACGTAAGTGCTTACAAATTGTGGATAGCCAACACCGTGCTGGAATCCCAGCCAAGGCTCATGACCGAGAACTGCAGGAGTGATTGGGGTAGCAAAGTTCTTATCCGCCTGTGGGAGATGTCACTGTTTCAGCGTGATTTCAGCGGAGCACTAATCACAAACCGTAAGTGGTATTTTTATCCAGTTAAATCACTAATCTTATGTTTCCTTAAACTTACAAGAATTTGTCCTGACCGTTGCAAGTGCTTTCCCCTCAAGTGTCACTAAAATGTAAGTATTAACTGTCATAGGGATATAAATGCAGTGAATTTAATTGATTTATATTTTCTATATTAATCAGACAAGTAGAATCAAAATACTTGCACACCTATGATGTTGAATGGTTCCACCTGCACCCTGCGTTCTCAGCTTCTCCATCAATAAAGAATAACATTGCTGTTATTAAGTTGACCAACAAGGTGCCAAGATCAGGTAAACAATAAGCAATCCTAAAAACTCTGTATTGTAATAGAAAATTCGTTTAGTTCAAGATCTTGTTAGACCGATCTGCTTGGGACTGAACTTGAGTCCCCCAACGGCGTGGAACGCTTTCCTCTACAGTCTCAATGACGCTTTTATGGGCATTAAAATGGTGGACTTAAAGAAGATCGATAATTGCTCTGCGAAGACTAAATTGCCTGTACAACGCGATCAGTTTTGTATCGAGAAGCCTGACCAATCGAAGTATGCACCTTATGAGACCCCTGGCTCTGTGATAGGTACTATGCAAACGATAGGGGGCTCCGAAAGATATCTCATTGCTGCACTTATAAGCCATATTCAGGATAATGTAATCGTCCTTACAAAAATTCAAGACCACCAAAAATGGATTGCGAATGAGTTGAAAGGTTGAATTAAATATATTTTGGATTAAAGTACCGGGCTGTTCATTTGAGTGTGCTTCATTTTTATATGTTTCACTTTAAAACATATCTCTTTGGGCGCAGATAAGGGAGATACTCAAAATGGTTGTTCCTAAAAGCTTTTAATCTCTCTTCCAATTTTTTGGGGTCTACATTGATACTAATCAGTATGTTGGCTATTTAGTTAGTGATCATCACTTGAACGGAGAAGATGTGCGGATTTCTTTCGTTAGTTCTTATCGCGTTGGTGCTTTTTCAAGGCGGGTTATCACAGCTCCTGGACGATGAATGTGCTGGTCCAGAGCTGTTAACCTATAGAATAGTTAACGGGAGCTACGAGTATTCCGCTCCTTTTATGGCAAGCGTGTACTATCGTAGCAAATTTTTGTGTGGTGGAACGCTTATACACAAAGGTGAGGAAATTTATAGGTATTGAAGTAAGGAATGTATATTAGCCTGTATTTATCGTAGGATACGTTCTATCGGCTGCACACTGTTTTGAAACTTTTACTGAAGTGTAAGTACCACTCGGAACTTGTATCCCGCTGAATTGATTTATCTTTAAACCGCCTTAGAAATGTACACTTGGGAGAAATAGACCGATCATGCTCTGCTGAGGATTGCCCACACGTCCAGCGTCTAGGCGCTAGGGCTATAAATCATCCCGGATTTCCACATTCGGGCTATTCTGACATAGCTCTGCTTAAACTGTACAGAGAAGTGATTTTCAATGGTAAGCAAAAAAAGCAAGCAATAAGAACGTCATAAAGTAAACTTTTTGCCGTGTTAAAAAAAGTTTTAAAAATATTAAAATATTTTTCATTATCAATAATAATTGTGGCCGTTTTGCTGTACAAAATTAAAAAGAAAATAAATATCGATAAATAGATTAATCTATAAAATCGACTTGAAATTTCCAAAAGAATATTCTTAAGATAATATTAATATATTTAAAATAAATCTAACTTCACCCCTCAACAATTATTATTTTTTAATACTTCTAATTTTTCAGAGTTTATCCGTCCGATATGCATAATCCTAGATGAGGACGTTACATCAGATGGAGTCTACACCTTCTCGGCCTATGGCTGGGGTGTCACAGAGGAAAACAAGTTAAGTGATCGGCTGAAAAGCGTAACTCTCTCCCGGCTGAACGATTGCGAATACAATATTTGCGCGGGCGGTGTTTCGTTTTGATATGCATAACAAATATTTATTGAAGAGTGTTATGTGAAACTCAATTCACTTTCACCCATGAAAAAAAAAAAAAAAAATTAACAAAAAGTGAATAAAAAGATTGGTTACAAAAGTTTAGCAGTGTTGCAGTCTAGGCGTCTAAGTCTGGAATGAGTTTCCCACAAGCGTGCCGTCCAAGTATCCAATTGTCAGATGGGTGCAATCTTTTTAGTCTTCTTCTGTTCATAGGTCTGGAAAGTGTGAGGGCAAGTCTGTTTGTGTGGGAGATGAGTCTTGATCTGTAGCGAGTGGCAGAATTGGTGATAGATTTACAAACAGGATTAATTTTGAGATCTCGAAAAATAGTAGTGTTTCTTGTATAATATGGGGCGTTTATCATATGTCTTAAAATTTTGGATTGGCAGGATTCAACTCTTTTTATAGAAGTGTTACAGGCAGTGCCCCAGAAGTGTATACCCCAATGTAAACTAGGCATCAAGGTTGCTTTGAAGAGCCGGGTTTTCGCCGTGATCGATAGTCCACTGCCCGGACGAAGAAGCCATCTCATTTTCCCCGCTTTTTGCCTTACTGAAGCGCAGGTTGCCACAATGTGCTGCTTCCAGGTAAGCCGCCTGTCCAGAGTGAGCCCAAGGTACTTAACCGTGTCCGAGTGCTTTATTGGAGTCCCGTCTAAGGTTAGGCGATAAGTGTTCAGCCTGTTCAATGAAAAGGTGGCATGCTGAGACTTGGCAGGATTAACTGCGATGTTCCACCTCGACGCCCAGGCCTCAAACTCATTTAGCATGTCCTGCACCATATCTGTCGCCTCTCTTCGCAGAGCACTTGTCGCCAGAAATGCTGTGTCATCTGCATAGGTAGCTGTTAAAACATTCCTGCCTCTGGGCGACGGAAGGTCCGAGGTGAATATTGTATACAAGACAGGACCCAGCACACTTCCTTGAGGGACTCCAGCAAGAATAGGCCTTGAGGCAGATTTGGATCCTCGAACATCCACCTGGAAGGTTCTACCAATTAGAAATGAGCGAAGGAGATCAAAGTATGTCAGGGGAAGAATGGGTTTCAGCTTATAGAGCAAGCCACAGTGCCAGACTCGATCGAAGGCTTGCTTGACATCTAGGAATACTGCGCAACAATACTTTTTCGCCTCAAATGCTTTAAGGATATGGTTGACAACGCGATGCATTTGCTCAGCAGCGTTATGCAGACTCCTGAAACCAAACTGATGATTTGGAATTGCATTCTGAAACACATGAACACTAAAAAGCCTTTTTAGTAAGATTCGCTCAAAAATCTTAGAGAAGGTTGGCAATAGGCTTATAGGCCGAAAAGAATCTGCACAGCGGGGAGAGACGCCTTTCTTGGGGATCATAACAACATTCGCATGCTTCCACTGCTCCGGATAATATGAAAGAACAATCATAGCATTAAAGATACGCGTAAGGAACGAAATAGCTGCTACTGGCAAAGCTTTAACTACTTTTCCGTCAATGCTGTCATGGCCAGGGGCTTTGTTCATCTTCAGTCGCTTTATTTGGTCTTTAACTTCTTCTGCTTCAATAGGTAAAATTTGAGAAGCTAGACCAGAGGGAACATCATCAAAGGCTTCTGTAATAGCAGTCTCTTCATCTGTGGCCAAATCAAAAGGCTTAAATCTTTCTTCCAAAGAATCAGCGAATTCCTTAGCTATTTCATCATCTTTATTTGCCCAGGTACCGTCCGATCGATGCAAGGGAAACTTCTGGAGAGGCTGCCGTTTAAGCCCGCGAGTGCATTTCCACAGTTCAAAGCCTCGATCAGCATCCGGATCGATAGCACTAAGTTTCCGGACAAAAAATTCGGACTTAGCATCATAAAGTGCTTTTCTTAATAGAGTATCAGCTCTTTTAAATATTGCTAAATCTTGTGGATGACGCGTTTGCATCCAGCGTCGCCGGAGTGATCTCTTCTGCCTAACCAGCGCCGTTACTCTGGTGTTTGAAAGGGCATTATTTGGCTGTGGAACAGCAGGGCGATTACCGATAGCAGTGGATGCGGCAGCGGCAGATTGAATCTTTAGAGTAAGGTCACTAACAGCTGTATCAATATCCAGAGGACAGTTCAGATCAGCAGATTCATCATTCTCAATAAGGATTGTAAGGTGATCCCTAAAACGTCCAATGTTAGCCCGACGAGACAGCAGCCTTGGTGTTGTAAGTCGGGGTGAAGTAGAAGCGCATAAAAGTATTTCAAGCGGAATGTGATCAGAACTAAGTTCATGAGATTCATGTACAGTCAGAAAGTTGGACGAGATACCCTTATAAATAGCAAAATCGATTGCCGTTGGATTTCGCCTTGCATCAGAAGGAAAGTGAGTTGGTCCTCCTGTAGCTAAGACTTGCAGACTTGAAGACGTAATAAAATCTAAAAGCTGAACACCTCTGGGTGAAGAGCGGATACAACCCCAAAATTGATTGTGAGCATTCCAGTCGCCAGCTATGATAAAACGGTTTGAAAATTCGCTAAAAAGTTGTCCAAAATCTTGAGCAGTCCATAAAAAGGAGGGGGGCAGTAAATAGAAGCAATCACGATGTCTCCCAAGTCCGTGCTTAAGGTAATTGCAGCAGTTTGACATTTTACAGTAGAGTTGGTACTGTAAGGGGAGTACTGCAAGTGAGAGCGGATTAAAATAGCAGCACCTCCTCGAAGACGGTCAGAGGGATGATTAGCCGTCAATAAATCATATCCAAAAATTCTGAAATGTGAGCGGCTGTTAAAATGCGTTTCGTTAATTAGCATCACGTCAATTGAATTAGCCGTAAGATAGTGCTCTAACTCGAGATTTTTGCCAGTGACACCATTGGCGTTCCAAAATGATAAACGAATGCCTAAACTAGACATGTCTCCTGATCTTAGACGCATCAGAAGGCGAACTGCCGGTAAACTGGTTCATAAGAAGTTCCATCATTTTCAACATCATTGACATCATCTGGTCAATACGGGAGATAAGTATTTCAAAGCCAGCACTAGGCGGAGGAGGCTCAGTAACGCGTTGCATGGGCTTGGAAGTGCTAGATCCAATAGCCGGGGAAGGTAAAGCTGGGCCCCAAGCACTTTGGGCAGGAAGAGGGGCAGGTACAAATTTATTTGATGGTTGTTTTTTTATTGTTCCCGATTTGCGACGAGCAATTGCTTCTAGAAAAGCTGGACATTTGCGGTATCCTGCACTGTGGTTAAAACCGCAATTAATGCACTTAAATTGATCCTGAGACGTAGCAGGGCAAACAGGACTTCGAGACTCATGATCACCACCACATTTTGCACATTTGGGAGGTATGAAACAGTATGTTTTTGTGTGTCCAAACTCCTGGCAGTTATAACATCTAACAACTTCATCTCGGCGTTCAGGAGGGACGATAGTAATTGACTGATAAGCCAATGATTTAATGTCATAGACTTTGACATTATTTGTCGATGACTCTAGCTCAACAAAGAAAATATTGGGCCTGTGACCATTGTTCTTACCCGGGGGATTATAAACATTGCGGACAACGTGCCCAGCGGCGCCTAAATCAGCTTTAATATCTTCAGGATCCGTAGACGAATGTAGGCCTTTGACGACAATCCTGAAAGATCGATCACTTTTCAATTGCCAAGAATTAAACGGAATATTATTACTCCACAAAAGTTGTTGAACTAATTTGTATGTATCACCATCGAAAGGAGATACCCTCACTGTAGCAGGTCCAGTAATCTTAAATCTTATATTGGTTGTGGTGGCCTTGATCAGATTCATAAGTTGCTTGACATCAGTAACACCCTTTATCACAAAGGCGGGCGGACGTGGTTCAGATTTGGGTGCTTTAGACGACGGAATAGGAGTACCAGAAATACCCTTTGACTTTTGGGAAATTCCACCACTATTGCTAGAAGTTATTGTACTCTTACTAGTCACAGGGGGCTGGCAGGAGTTTAGGGGCTCCGATGGAGGAGACTGGGTGTCTATACGATCATTAGGGAGTGGGTTTTCAATGTCTTCATCCGATAAGAGGGCAAAGTTGTTTCCATGACCTGAATATTTTTCACCAGGAGATTCCGAGTCCTCTGATCCAAATATTTCCAAGTGAACCTTGCGTTTAAGATTACGAAAGCGCTTAATAATTGGTCCAAATGAAGCATCCTTACTGTGGTTAGGGTCAAGCTTGTTTCGCTTTCTTATGCGTTTGACGGATTCGCAACGCAACTGGTCCGCCACTTCCTGACTGACGAATTGTAGATTTGAAGTAGTGGAATGTCCAGGTGTGCTTGCACCGTGTATTCCTTCATTAAAATTATCAAATTCATGTTGAGAAGCAAAATCTTTCTCAGTATTAAGCAAAGTATCCGCCGAAGCTTCCAGAACGTCTTTCAAATTGTCTAGCGATGAATATGAAGTATCAGCAATAGATAAATTGCGTTCAAGATCAAATTTCTGTGATCTAGCTTCCTTGGACCTGACGGAGGTCACCCTTACACCACGACCTCTAGACGACCTTGAAAACTCCTTGCTAGTACTGGCATTTGAATTATCAGTTATAAATAAATTGGGAGACGAAGAACCATCGCAACTATCCACATTCATAACATGATCACATAGAGGGACATTAATATCTTGATCAGCGGCAGACATGATGACGACCAGCAGGGCGGCCGGCCAGCCAATGCAGGCGAGGCCGGCAAACGCGATGCGTTAATGAAGTCCAAGTACGAAAGCACAAGTCACACGACGTGAAGTCCAAACAGAACCAAGAGATAAAAAGAAATAAATAAAACGAATTTTTATAAAATTTTTTGAAACACGGGATCCCGAGATAAACACAACCGGTTAGCTTGACATTAAAGTCGGAATGCGGTGTTTCGAAAGACACCTGTCGTGGCGATTCGGGGGGGCCCGGCGCGCCCACACCCCAACAAGGGAAAAATAAAGATTTTTTTTTTTTTGGGGGTGGAGGCGGGGGGGGCGGGGGTGCTCTGGCCACGGCGTCTATACGGATGTAAATAGGTTCAAATTATGGATAGCCAATAACGTGCTGGAGTCCGAGCCGCGGCTTTTGACTGAGAAGTGCATAAGTGATTGGGGCAGCAAGGTTCTTGTGCGCCTGTGGGAGTTGTCACTGTTCCAGCATAATTTCAGTGGAGCTCTAATCACAAGAGGTATTTTTATTCCGCTTGATTGCCATGTAATAATTTCTTAAATATTTCAAGAATTTGTCCTGACTGTAAGTGTAAGTAGCTTTCATAGGGATAAAAATGCAGTAATCTATTTAATCTATATTTTTGTTTCCCGCAGACAAGTAAAATCTAGATTCTTGGTTAACTATGATGTAGCATGGTTTCACCTGCACCCCGAGTTCGCATCTTATCCATCAATTAAGAATAATATAGCTGTGATTAAGCTGGCTAATAAATTGCCAAGATCAGGTGAAAAGAAAATACTTGTAATGATAACTTCATCGTACTATCCAAATCTTTCAGTTCTAGTAGCACCGATCTGCATGGGACTGAACTTGAGTCCCCCGACGACATGGAACGCTTTCCTCTACAATGTAACCGATGTATTTGGGGGCATTCAAAGTGTAAATTTAAGGAGATTCGATAACTGCTATGCGAATACTGAATTGCCTTTAGAGCCTGATCAAATCTGCATTGAAAAACCTGACCAATCCCAGTATGAGTCCCTTGAGAAACCTGGTTCTGTAATAGGTACAATTCAAACGTTTAAAGGAATGGAAAGATATCTCATTGCAGCCATAATAAGCCATACTCTGGATGATGTAATCATTGTCACAAACATTCAAAACCACCAAAAATGGATTGCGAATGAGTTGAAAGGTTGATGAGTGATTTTTATAACTATGGTAATAAGTAAAATATGGATTATAAATACTCTATTAGTATAGTTATTTACTTTATTGTCTTGCTTGCTGTAAAAGTGTATATATATCGGGGTATCTAATTTTCACTTGACTTTAAGCCGAAAACAATGTGTTGCAAATTACTTTCTTATTTCCTAGCTGCGAACTCCTCAAGGATTCTAAAGTTTCAGACAGCTTGACAGCCTCTAAGGCTGGTGTCTTGTTTATTGTTAGCTCGTCCTAAGACGAAAATAGTTTCGTTTTCATCTGACCCACTTTCACTCGAACTTGGGATCACCGAGTTGAATGGTTGGGCAAAAGTTTTGGGCGAGAACTTACCTCGAATCGATGTGCTGCAAATAGTCCAGTCGGCTCAAATGCAATTCGCGTAAATGAAACAGGTTGAGGAAGGCGACGGCGGGCAGCTGGGAAAACCGATTGCCGCCCAGGTTCAAATAGGTGAGGTTCGAAAGTTTCGAGAGCTGTTGTGTGGGCACCATCTGCAATAAAAAGGCGAAAAAGTGGCGTTTTATTTAGAGAGCATTCAAAACTAAAATGAAAAGTTTGGCCCAGCTAGAAACTATCAAATATTAATGCAAGCCACTCAACTTTAAAAACGTTTTGCGGTTCGCAAGCGCTGTCCTTCAATCCAAAAAAAATGAGCACTAAACAGTAAAAAAGGAGGGAATCAATAGAAAAGCGTTGCTTAAGCGACTGCAGCGGAAACGGAAACGCGCGTCATGTACTTCCCCTTTTTCCCTGTTTTTTGTTTCTTTTTTTTCCTGCTCCATCACTCGCTGCCCAGCAAATTCGTCTGTGTTTTTTCCCTTTTCAGGGGGCAATAAAATCAATCTTGCAACGAATTTGTTACAACTACCGAGACAGCTTCGAGGAGAGTGTGGCATGCATAAAAGAAGAGGTTTCCTTCTTTTTTCCTCCTTTTCGTTTTCGGAGGAAGAGGGCCAAAAGCTTTTGGCTGTAATTTTGGCTGCCACTTGTGTTCACCTTCCACTCACCCTTTATTCGTCATTCGTCTCCCTTTCTCCCTGCTTTCACCGATTTTCCCGAATTTTCCCTTCCTTAGCGTGTCGGAAGCTACGTGCCGGGCGTCCGGGCACGAACACACTCCGCGATAACGTAATGAACTTCTGGGTGGGGGGGAAAAACTCCGGGAAAGCGGGAAAATAAGGAAAAAAGGGAAGAGCTAAGAGAGGAAGGGCGCCAAGTGTGTGGCAAATGAATTCAAATGCTGGCCAAAAGCTCATAAGGCAGCGAAAATGGCTGAAAATTAAAAGGCATTACGCATACGCAATGTAGGCCATGCCGGGCAATTGTTTAACCAAATGGCAACACTTTTTTAGCCCCCATTATTTATACTGCAACCCCCTAGCATTTTTTTCCTCTTCTCTCTGTGGGTGTTTTCATGTTGGCACTGCACTCAAAGGAAAACCGGCGACTGCTGGACTAATTAAAAGGCTTTTCCTCGCCAGTTCCCCTTTCCAGCAATTTCTGGAGCGTGGAAAAGGGCGTGAGTGCAAACTGTGAAAAAAGAAAGGGTTGGACGAGACCCAGAAAAGAAAGTGAAATTATATTGACTTTGATTTTTATACCCTTGTAGAGGGTATTATTATACCCTTGTAGAGGGTATTATAATTTCAGTCAGATGTTTGCAACGCAGTGAAGGAGACGTTTCCGACCACATAAAGTATATATATTCTTGATCAGCATCACTAGACGAGTCGATCTAGCCATGTCCGTCTGTCCGTCTGTCCGTCTGTCCGTCGGTCCGTCTGTCCGTCTGTCCGTCTGTCCGTTTCTATGCGAACTAGTCTCTCAGTTTTAAAGATATCGCGATGAAACTTTCCCGAAAGTCTTCTTTCTATTGCAGGTAGTACATATGTCGGAGCGAGCCGAATCGGACCACTATATCTTAAGGCTCCCATAGGAATATTCAAAGATATATAAGAAAATTCATTGTTACTTTGTAGGAAGTAGGCGCTTTAATTCTTGACTCTTTAAAAACAAAATTCAAAAATAGAAACGCTGAATCTGCAAGGGTATATAAGCTTCGGCTGGCCGAAGGTAGCTTCCTTTCTTGTTTCAATTTAATTTCCTATTTCCTTTCCGATTGGAAAACTGTATTGGAAATGTGAGAATGAAAGCTAATTGCCAAGAAATTGTAAAAGGGAATCAGTAAATGAATCTGCAGGCGAGTAATATATTTTACTTCCAAAAGCATTTCATACCACGCCTGCGAAAATTCTCAGACAAAAAAAACGTAAAATTTGCAGTTGTGCAGCCGTACGCAAAATTTATGCAACAAAATACAAACAAAAGTTTGTGAAAAAATGCAAATAAATTAATTCGGATGTACGCTCGCAACAAAAATAAATGCGAAATATGGTTTTATTGAAACTTTATGCTTTCGAATATTTTCGCAATTATTCCGTTTAATCTGAGAGTTGAGTGCAATAATGTTTGTGCATACTTATGCACCTAATGCAAAATCATAACCCACAACAGAAAGTACAAACAGACACATCTCTCTCCATTCATCAGCAAATATTTTTGTTGAATTATGAAAATGTAAAATTGTTCGTTAGGTATTTCAACGTGTGTTATTGAAATAAAAATTAGTTTGTTTGTACAAGTGAAAATGGAATATGCAAATGAATTTGGGGAAGCACAGAAAATGTGGAATATTTAGAATGATCAGTCAATTGTGCGAAATATTTACATTTAATAATAATTTCATTTCAATTTTTCCCTTTATGTGTTGGAAATTAAGCAAAATAATTGAGAAACCATTTGGTGAATAATGTATATTTTTATTTAAGTCAGAAAAGTGCTATATAAGTGAGGTGCTAATATCAAACTAATTTCCAGGACCAATTACCTGTACACGAAACTGATACTGAGTAAGCTTTATTACTCTGTTAGTACAAAAGCCCCTCCCTTTGTTTAAACTGCCCACTCAACGCACTTCATAAATCATATTCAACCTTTGCATTTTACATGCTTCATGAGTTGTTCCTCCAGACTCCAGACTGCAGACTGCTGCCCTTCGAGACCCCCCTCTATTTTCCAGAAAACTATGCAGATGCAGACAACAATTTCATGCACTGGCCGCATGCCAAAATGGGGCAGAATGTCTGACGGTGGATATATCCTCTGTGCATAATAAAACAACAATCTGTCCAATAGGAAAAAGAATGCCATTTGAAAATACCGGAACAGGTTTGCAGCAGGAGATTTGGCTTCCTGGAAATATAAAGGGTTTCGTTGGGGGAAAGAGAAGATGAGGGGTAGGTGGAAAAGTGGGTGGCAGACCGACCATATTTCAACTACAAAATGCCAAAAGGTATTTTAAGTAGTTTCGAACTGATTCCGAGCGCCATAAATTCCTCCGCACCGTCAGTTGCCGTTGACTACGCGCGGTTGCTTTTGCTCTTGCTGCTGCACCTGCTTAGAAAGTCCTTTTTAGCCATCAGACAGGACACACACGCACACTTTATCCCCTCCTAACGACCGAAAGTATACGGGAATACTGCTTCCCAGCCACACGGACCGAAAGGAGGCGATCTGAAGTCCTAGACTCGGTTGCATTGCATCCATCAGTTTGCATAAACGGGTCCTGCTGTTGCAGCTACAGAGAAAAGTATTTTCCATCCTCTTTATCTTATTAAATTTGCAAAAGGATAATTGTAAACCTTCAATGATTTAATCTGGAAATTTCAAAACATATTCATAGCAATAAAATTTAAATTTTTATCTATAAAAATAAAAATAAAAAAATCTTAAAAAAGGACAGCCATTTCTCTCTGTGTACAGGCTGTCTGTGATTACATAAAAACGCATTTCTGGAGACTGGGGCATTTCTCATCCCCCTACCCATTTCCATTTTCTGAATGTGGTATAGGGATACCAGCCAGGACATGCAATTTCACCTTTGAGCAGGGGATTTGCACAACTCAACTGAAAGTTTCGCTCCTTTGGCAGACCCACCTACAAACTGTGTGTCCTAATGATTTGGTTTGGTCAATTTAAAGACCAAGGCGAGGGCTTGAAATGAACCACAGCATGGGTGACTTTTGATTGGCAATATTGGGGAACTAAATTAAAATGACTTTGGTAGGAAAAAGTTAACTAAACATTTTTACTTGATTAAGCCTTTTTTTAAAGTCTCACTTTTCGCCTTAGTTCTTCCAAATCCAATGTGTTTATCAGTTATATTTGGAATTCGAATGTATAAAATATATCTGTCTTCCTGCTTAATCCTAAACTCTTTCGCAATTTAAGCACTTGAGTGCGGGACTACATACATTTTTCCTTCTCTTCTTCGATATCTCGTCTGTACTTCAGCTTTATCTTGACCTCGCTCAATTTAGGTTCACAATTTCTACACAATTGTCTGCTCGTAAAGTTTTAAGCAGCTTTAAGCTGGCTCAGTTGCTGGGCAACGAGTTTATGCATGTCTCGAGGGGAAAAGTGCGGAAAAAGGGGGCTGGAAAGCTGAAAAGCAGGCGGCATTTAACAAAACCCGGAGAAACGCTGGCCAAATGGCCGAGGGCACATTCGCATGGGTGTGTGCGAACCGGACAGCAACAACGAGTTATGGTTATTAATTTTGCGTATGCAAAATTCAGCTAAACTCCAGGAAGGACGAACTTAGACGGGGTCCTCTGTGAGGGGTTGAGAGGATGAGAGGGGATGGGAAATCCGCTTTGGCAAAGTGTTGCTCACAGGATTTCGCCCTGGCAAAGTGTCTAAATTTATGAGACCAGCAATGCTAGTTGCCTGCGGCCCTGGTGCGAAAATGCTTGTGCCATTTCACACTTAGTTTTCGTTTAGAAAAGTGATATTTTAGATTTCTTAAAAGAGGATTTATTTAAAGAAGAAATTTTACTTGTTATAGAAAAATATTTTGCAAAATATATTTCGTTTTTAAATTTTTTGCGACCAAAAAAAATATCTGATATTTTAATTGTTATATTTAAACAATGTTTTAGTGTTTTTCCCATTGTTTTACTATATCAACATAGAATAATAAACCCACTACTGAATATAATCACTTACCGTTAGATTATTATCGGACAGATCCAGATGCTTTAAGGAGATGAGTCCCTCGAAGGCACTCAAATCCAGTTCGCTCATCACATTGCCCTGCAGGCTGAGGGCCAGAAGCTCCTTCAGGCCCTCGAAGCTGTCGTTCCGCACAAACTCGACCAGATTCAGCGACATATCGAGACTCTTGAGGGCATGCAGGTGCCACAGGTTGCTGGCCGGAACGTCGAGCAATCGATTGTTCCGGAAGACGAGAACCTCCAGGGTGTTCATGCCCTTGAAGGAGTTGTCCTCCAGGCTGACGATGTTGTTGTTCGTGAGATCCAGTTCCACCAGCGAGGCCAGATCGCTGAGGGCGGTGGGATGCACTGTCTCGATGCGATTGAAGCTGAGATCGAGCAGCAGCAGATTGGTCAGACCCTTGAAGGCATGTTTGTGCAGGGAGCTGACCAAATTCCTGCTGAGATTCAGGGTTCTCAGCTCCGACTGGTACTCGAAGTTCTTCGAGCCCAGCGTTTCGATGATGTTCTGTGAGAGATCCAGGATCTCCAGCTTCATGTAGAAGGGCAGGGAGAACTCCAGGTTCCGTATCCGATTCACTGTTAGGTTTATGTATTTAGTTTCGGGATTTAGTTGGATGGGCACATCCTCCAAAGCGGCATCCACGCATAGGGCTCTACTATTGGCCTCGCCACCCAAACACTGGCACTTAGAGGGGCAGAAGGCGGAGGATTCCCGGGGCAGGATCACACATATCAGGAGGAGGAGCAGCACTGGAATGGGTCCACTTTGCCATGGCCTCCTCCTTGTCGTTGTGGTCACCTCTGTGTGGTCAGCCATTTTGTGTTGACTACTTGGGGGCTCTTCCTCTCGTCTGGATAATTATTTGTTGACCAATTTGTGGTGCCAAAATGTTACCACCCTTTGCTGTCGGACATCTTGGCAACTGAAGAGGCTCTGCTGAAAAATATAGAAAGCAAAAAACTGGGCTTAACATTTTAAACAGATTTAATCGGAGCTTTATAGCGCTACAGAAATTTCCCTAAATAAATAATGACATATGGTTAAAGTTCTACGGTTCGATTACGGAAATTAATTTTGTTATTTATGTCCATTAATTAAGTAAATGCATAATTAATAAGACCATGCGTTATCAGATGAAAAGAAACTACAATGGTAGCGACAGATTTTTCCGCCTATAAAGTTTTAAATCAGTTAAAAAATACGAATAAATTATTCTGTATTCAAAGAAATTGGCAAAATAATAAACTGTGAAATATCAACATTATTTAAATGTAACCACAATAAAATCTCACTGCCACTTCAAACAAACCAAAGTTACTTGAGCACTGCAAATTAGCGTATATTTTAATGAACATACTTTGCATTTTGAAATGCGATATCTAAGAGGACTCAGCGACTGCTCCATTCTTTTCACACCTTTTTTTCGGGAACTGCTCTATTCTTTGTTATTTTTTTCGGAAAATTCACGAAAACTTTTGCGGCAAAAGAGTCTCTCTCTACGACACTGCAAGATTTATGTGCATAAGTTGGTAGCTAATATTTCATAAAAGTCGAGACGCAGACAGAGAAATAAAGTGGGAGAGAGTTAGGTCTCCTGGCGTTAACTTTTTTTGTGCTGACAACTTTGCATTCGAAACTTGCTGACTTACCAGACAGGATCAGAAGGACGAGGGGTGTAAGGGGGGCTAGGCCCAGTCGGCTGCATTTTATGGTTTATAAGTTTTGCATAATGCAGTCGGACCGTCTAATAGTTATGGCCATGATGAGCTACCGCCCCAGGCTAACAAAAAAAAGTATAGAATTCTAAATGCATATTCATGAAAATTTGCTGAAATTGTAAGCCAATTTTACAGACAAAAAGCTGGCTTAAATTCTCAGATACCAGTTTAATAGAACAATTTAAGGGGAAATAAATTGAATCTGAATTCAAATAGTTAAGATATTTAGTTTAGGTAATATTAAGCTGAAAGCTGAAATTTCAGAACCTGATTCAGGAAATTTTCAATGGGATAATATCATTTAAGCATACATTTTTGGCAACCCACAGAATCGAAATTCCCTCCACTCTCAACTAATCGCATATAGCTGACTTAAATTACATATTTGCCCAGCGGCAACACTCAATTAAGTAATTAACAAATTATGGGAATGTGGAAGGGGCAGAGTGAGCCATTCAATTCCACTTGAGAGTGCCTGTCTTTCGTACTCTGATTTGCATACAAAGCACAGACAATGGACCGAGAAGAAGCAGAATAAAATACCCCTTTAACTCATTTTGCCCCCCTCAAAACACACACACACACTGGCAACAATAACCTTAACTAGCTGTAAAACAAATAATAAAGAGCAAAACGCAAACTTTTGAGGTTTCATAATGTCAACAAAAGTTAAAAGCTCACAGAGAAATTCCCCCTCCCTAGCCCCTCCTCCCAACATCCTTTCATTCATTCATTCATTCAGTTTGTGATTCTGGTTCATATTTTACGCTTCAATAAAATTGGCAAAAAAGCCCCAACCTCCGCGGTGGAAAAAAGTGAAAATTGTGAAAAATTCACTCCCGTGTGAATTATTAAGTTTCACATGGCAGTTGCTCTTGTTGTTTTCTTCCTTTTAGCAAAAAGAAAAAAATATACGTTTGTGTGTGTGTGCGGTAGAGGGAGTGTGTTTGTGTTTGTTTGCAAAAAGCACACAAAGTTTTTAATAAACTTTCGCACGCCAAGCGAACTCAACTTTGAACCGAACCCCCTGTGCGCCCTCCTTTGCCGTCAAAAAAAAGGGGAAATGTTTGAGCCAGGGGCGGAGGCCTACAAGTGGAAAAAGGGGGTAGGTTCCACACACAAACAGGCATGAATTCATTGTGGCAAATATTTTGAAAGCAAACTTGGCGGAACGAGGAGGGGTAGGCGGCTGATTGTTGGAAATGGTTTTCGGGGCCTGTCAAAGGCCAACAAGTCGAAAGTTGTGGCCTGCACTTTGGATGCGATGCTCGCTTTTCAACGGAAAACCAAAGAGATCGAAGCGGGCTGCTCTTAATGGGTTAATTAAATGAAGGCTAACTAACCCTGTCAGGAAACTAACGAAAAGTGCAAGCGATATCGACAAAAAGGGGGTAATTTTTATGGATTTTTTTCATTACTTCTGGATTTTATTAAATTCCAGTATGTTTTATATATTATTTTGCTGTGTTAAAAATAAATGTATTAATAAACTTAAAAACACATATACAATACAGTACAGATTCTTACGAAAATAATGGAGATTATAGCTTTATTAAAATGGAAACTATGTAGACTTCTAAAATGTAAACAATAGTAAACAAGAGTCCTGTTTTTCTGATCTACAATTAATGTTAGTTTAAAGTTTTTCAACGAATTAAATAATAGAAAAATCATTATTTTTATAATGCTGTTCATAGCCAAGAAACCTGCATAATATCTTTAATCAATTAATCTTAAACCCCACAAGGACAGTCTTTTTCAAGGATTACAGCTTTAAGCTCATCTCATTTAGGCTTGTCTCTCTCCGGGATTTTTCTCCTACTTTCCACTCAGTTTATGACTGCAGCTAAACCAAAAATCCAATCAACAAAGTTGTATGTGCTTCCCAGGACAGTTTGCCACCTCCTCCTCGAGAATTCCGCCATCCTCTTCAGTTTTATAAGCTTCATTTAATTATATTGACATTGTGGGAGTCTGCTTACATTTTTTTTTGGCTCAGGTGAGCAAGCTTGTTTCCTGGGAAAATTCCCAGGCAGTGACACCCGAATCTAGGGTGTCGCATCCTTAGCCCACGTTCCTCATTTGAACTTAAATGCCATAAAAATGGGAAAATAATGTCAGAGCCACAAAAAAGAACGAAATGCGCCAGAGCAGAGCAACAAATGCTGATAATAGAAATAGCGAGAGTTCCCCGAGAAAAGGAAAAAGGAAGGACTCTTTGCGCCACGCATAAAGTTTGCACATAAATTTTCCACGAAAAGAACCGCTGAGCATGCCATTGACTTTAAAGGCCACAAATGGCAATCGAGGGGTCGCGGGAATCTGGGGTGGATTTGAGGTGAGGTCAGGGTTCAGGACACAAGCAGGGAAATATAGCAGGGAAGCCGGCAAGCTGAGAAGCTGGAAAAGCTGGGTAGCGAGTCGAGCAATCAAAGGTGAAAAACTTTTGTGAACTATGCGAAGAGCACACAAAGTCAATATTAATATTCACTTAGTCAGGGGGGAATAGGGCGTCGGGGGCGAGGGGCGGGGCAAGCTGACTGACAATGGCCAGGGAAAAGGCAAATGCCAAGCAAATTGAAAATGCGACGAAAAACGTGAGATGCCGTCCTAGCATTTCCCGCAGCCCCCTTACACAGGGAACAAATATGGTCAAGAAAAAAATATTCAGGCATCAAAAGTTTTTTTTTCTTCTAACATTAATAAAAGCAAATAACCTTAATAACTTTAACGAATTTTGTTTGTTTTAAATATATTTAATTTATACGTCAAATAAGTTTTTTATTAATCATGAAGAAAAAAATATTTAAGTAATAGGTTCACAATAAACATAATTTTTTTTTTTTTTTTCCCCCCCTTTTTTTTTTGTACAATTATTTTACGGATTTTTAAACTTGTAAATACATTTACAAGTAGGTACTTTAAATTTAATTTGGTTTACGAATTCTTTATTTATTTGCCTTAATATTTAAGATTATATATGAAAAAAAAACAGATCCTTAATAAATGATTAAATATTTTTGTGCGCATTTATAATTTTGTTTTTATTTTTTCCCGTGCATCAACGTGCCCGAGTGCGTTTATTTTTATCAAGATTAGCATTTGCTCCTCTTCACGGGACCGGGCCTCTCCTGGTCGATTCCCCGTCCACCACGTCGCCTCCACCGGAGACTTATTGGATAGGCAAACACTCGGCGATGGCAAAACAAAGAAATGAATTCCCAGATTTTGCACGCACAAATTGTCTCCGGGGTCTGGGTGTTCATGAGTTTTGCCGGCATTCGCCATCAAAGATGAATTGCTGTTGTCGCCACAGTGCAGCGCTCAAATCTCACCTCCCCGAATTTTCCCCACCTTCTGGCAGCAGTTTTCCAACGTTTTCCATCGCTTTTCTGCCAGCATTTTCACTTCTAAAAAGACTTCACTGCACGCATAATTAATGCAATTGTTGGTCGCCTGGCAGGCAAATAAGAGTTTTGTTATGTTTTTGGTTTTTTCGGTCAGCGGAGGGTAAAGTGAGTGGTCTTAGTTTGTTCAATTAGTGGCTGCCAAAAAAGCGACAGAAATAAATGGAAATCTTTTGGCAGAGGATGCTTGAAAATGCAAAAGAAAATATACCATTTTGTTAAATATTAAAGAAAAAGATTTTATTCTACTCTTACAATCCTTAGCACTTTAGTTTAAACCCAACTAAACCAACAAAAACAGAGGCTTTTAAGATAGATCTACAAATGCTGGCCTGGGAAAATGAAAAACTTTGCGCACATGTGATATGGCTCTCCGCTGGCCAAGAATTTTAATTTAATTTCCTTTTTTTTAACACTCTGCTTGATTTTGCAACAAAAAAGTGGGAAATGAAAATGGCTTAATAACCAAGAGACCCGAGGCAGTTGCCAAACAAGCAGAGCAGAGCAGAGCACACACATAGCATTATTTCATCCGAGGCGGGGAAAAACTCCCTCCGAAGTCCCCTATTCGCCCCTATTTTCCCCCTTTTCCACTGAATTTGCAGACGCCGTGGCAGACGCCAGACGAGACGCCATGCGGCAAAATAAAAACCGAAATACAACAAAACCGCCACCGAAAAAAACACTCGAGTGAGGTATTTAAAAATATATATATTCTTATACATATATCTGTCGCTGTGTATATATCATTTCGCAGAGTGTTTCGCCAAGTGGCCGGAGAAGTAAGAGAAATAATGCGACAATTGCATTAAGTCTACAAATGCTGACGAAAAAAAAAAGAGCACAGGGGCTGGCAAATGAAATATTTTATCTTTATATGCAGCTATCCTTTTTTTTGGGACGCTGCGGTGCACTAAATGTTTAAAATGGTTTAGAGATCCTTAACTCGTTTTTATTGTGCCATGTTATGGCCAGGATAAAGTTGAGTTAGTGAGAAGTGGAGCAAGAGACAAAAAGCGGAAGTGCAGGAAAAGCAAGTTTATGCTCCAGAGTGTGTGGCCATCCGCTTAAGCTTCAGATGATATAGCAGCAGTTGCAGCACTCAAGACCCCAGATCTTTATGGCTGCCGAGGTGGGAGGGGAAAATCAAGCAGGCGCTAAGAAAAATCCAGGAAAATGAGGGGTGCCTTTCAAGCTAAAGAAACTGGAACAACTAATACAACAATATTTGTAATTTGATGCAAATATAAAATTCTTCATTCATTTAATAAATTAATTATAGAAAATAAATTAGTGGGTACTTATAAGGCAACATTAAAGTTTCAAATGTGAAATAAGAAAATAGAGTAAAATAAATACATTTGCATTATTAATAGAAATAGGTAAAAGGTATAAAATAATTGGAAAATCAATAATATTCCCTCAAGGGTTCCTACATCTTTAAAAATTCAACCTTTCCTCCCGTTTACCGGTAGTTTTCATACTCCTCGTTGGACATTCTGAGAATCGATATTTTTTGGACAGTCAGCTCCTAAAATATATATATGGCATGGTATGAAGGAAAAGAGTACAACGCACTTTCCGTTTTGGCTGCTGCCCCAAACTCGCCGAAAAAAAGAGCAGGAAACAAATGAGGCAGTTGAAATAAAAAAGGGGCCAACAAAAAAGAGGGAACTTTAGGCCACTGGCACAATAATTTGGCACGCAAACCTTTTTTTCGGCCCTTTGGGGAGGGGGACACACATACATAAATAAAAAATGAAGTGAAATACATTTTGGGAGCCAGAGTCCCGAGTTCCGCACATTAAAAAATTGCCAGAGTCAACTCGGAACGGGACCATAGGGATAAAAAGTGCTGGCATTAAAGCGGAAAAAAGCAGATATATATCTGGATTTGGGGCAGGTCCTTCGCTCTCTTAATGCGGTCATAGTTTGCTTTGCGGATAAACATATAACAATTAGAGTCCCGTTTCGCACAGTTCCTTTGTTTTGTTGGATTGCCCACTTGGGGGTTGCCTTTCGTATACGGGACGGCATGAAGGGGTTAAGGGCCACCCATACGACCGCCATGTTCAGTTAAATATTTGAGTAACTTTCATATTTAATTCACTTTAAGGGAGTCCGTTTTTTCGACAAGAAGGACTATGCAAATGAGCTCCGAAATTTGGGTCAAAGTTCAGGGAGTGGGTGTGTCCTGGGTGAATATTTATGGGGGGCCATATGTGTGTGCCCTGCTATTCAAGTTGCTCTCCAGATAACGTGTGGGTCAGGTCGGGAAAATAAAGTACAGAAGGGAGCAGCATAGTTATAGTGGAAAATGTCGAGTTTAATGTAGCATTAAATTAAGTTTTAAACGAATTGCTTTTAGACTAAAATTAATTCTTAGGAGGGGATTTGGCTTTCTCAACTTTTTGCTTGCTCAACAGTTGTCATTAGGTGCCTGTCACAAATGCACAAAATTCCCGTTTATCAAAAGGGTTAAGTGAGTTGATTTCGCCCCTGCCCTACCCAAAATATGTTGTAAAAATTTCACAGTCAACAAACATAAATTAATTTAACAAATGAACAGAACTTAACAAACACCGAAATACGACATAAAAGAATCCCAGGAATTTAACCTGGGCACATAAATTTTCTTCACCCCCGAAAATTTTCAGGCAAAGAAAACAAATGTTCATTAATATGCCAGACACATCTAGGGCAGCGCTCAGCAGGGGGAATATGGAAAAATGTGGAAAATAAAGGGACATGGAATTTTTGAAAAATTTATTAATTGGCAGCTAAATGAGCGGCAAGAATTAACAAGCTCATAATTTTATTATGCACAAAGAAAAGGGGTTGGGAAATCAAGTTCTGTGGCAATACTTTTAAAATTGTCAAAAATATATACGAAACGGTTAGGGAAACAAAGAAAGAATTTTTTTTAAATTTTAAATAAGAAATAATAGAACATTTCGCAGATTCCCGAATGCCATTTAAATCAATAAATTACATTATAGGTCCCCTAAAAAACTGACAACGCTTTAAGCCAACTGTTGGCGTACAATTTCCCTTAAGTGTTTCTCGCCTTCCAAGGCAGTCGACAGTTGGCCACGCCCCCTCTCTGGCGTACAGTGGGCGGAACGGGAGGAATGGGCGGAGTTTGAGGGGAGAGTGAAAGATCTGAATTCATAGCCTTTTAATTGCAGCTGGCAGCGAGAAACGAGAGACTTTTTCGGCTGTCTGCTCATCGATTTTGGGGGACTTTTCCAACTGCCATTTTCCCCACCATTTTCTGCCATTCCCGCTGTTACACATATAAATTCAATTGTTAATTGAACGCTGGCCAAGTTGAAAAATGGGGTTGACTCTGGCAACCTGTTGAGCGCGCAGCCTGAGTGATTTATGGTTAGGAACTGGTTCAGCCGGAAAATGGAAATGGAAAATCGAAGGGAATGTTAATTTAAGCATGACACTTTATACAGCTGATATCGTATTTACCTTTCCTTAAACATGCAAATCGATTTAAGTCCGTAAATACGGGCTACAGCCTTTTTTCCTTATTTCGGTAAAAATAAATCAAAAGCAAAATCAATGAAATTCAATGAACTGACTCCAGCAGGCCCCGAAAATATTCGAGCAATTTATTTATAACCACAAAGAGGTTCCCTTTGAATGCGAAGAAGGGAAGGTCGGAACGATAGGATCCATTTTCCCAAAGAGCACATGTGTGTGCGGTGCCTATAATTGAATTATTTTTACGCATAAAATTTATTTATTCATGAACGCTCGTTTGTGATTCCCCTCGACTGCCAAAGGAAGCACGTAAATGCAATTTAAATTTATTTAGTCAAGTGTTACCAGGGCAACAGGCATATATTTTCTGGTGTAATAGTTACCGAATGCAGAATTAAAAGGAGTTTCTACGCAAATCGGGTTATTTCTGTTTAGTTTTAAGTTGCTAGAAAAACTTGTTGCTTTTCGTGGCCCTTTTGACATTGAGGCACGCACTTTCTCTGACTTTGACATGGATTTAATTAAATTTTTGTCAAAACTTTTGCCAAAGAACCTAGAAAGAGAGAGATAAGAAGCGAGGCAGTGGCAACAAACTGTTGACTGGAGTTTTTTCCCCAAAGCGTTTTGGACTTGGACTTCTGCTTTTATTTTTACTTTTACTTTTACCGGGGTCCCTGAGCCATTTCCCTATTTACCTTTGGCCCACCACCCCCCACATCCTCGTTAGCTTTGCATTTTTTGCGGAAATGAAGAGAGCTTTTGGCAAATTTCAGAGCTCCGCTCTGGCATTTCCGTGTTGCATTAAAGAGTCCTCCTACTTTTTACCTTTCCCTCTTCGTTTCTGGTCAGGAAATGTGATGGAAACTTCTTTAAATCTGCTCGCAGGCACTGGGAAAACTTCAACAGGTGCGAGGGCCACAAAATTGCTTTTATATGGCATTTCCGCCGTTCAGGGGGAATGGGTAATTGGAACTCACCTGGCTGTAGATGAAGTGTCCTCCAGTGGGAGTCTGGTCTGTCTGCCTGGTTGGTTGCCTGTTGGCAATTATAGCATCGTTCTGAAAGGAAAACACGAGAAAATCTAGGTCAGGTAATGTGTGGAAAAAGTTGCATGGTGCATGAAAAACTCAGACTAGTCTGAGGGAAAATACAAAAGAGTTGAGTTGCATGCAAAATTCTGCCTTGTACGGTGAAGTTTAGGCCTGATAACCGATAACTTTATCGATGGCTTTTCCGCAACCCGCATCTTTTTTTGCCTGGCAACTTTCCTTCGACCTGTCAGCAAAGTTTTCATCACTGTCAGCGGGGCTAACAACTTAACTTAAGCCAGATCGGACATAAAGTTGCTGTTGCACATGCAACACGCTGTTACACATCAACAACATGTGGGTATGTGGCGTCTTACAGGGCACGCATGCATGATTTTTTAGGGCGCCAAAAAGAGAGACTGAGTTTCGGAAAATAAATACGTATAAATAAATTTAGCTATTAATATTGATTTTTAAAATTACTTATCCCATTTTCAGTGCTAGCAAAAACAGTAATCATCACTAAATATTGAAAATTTTAGCACATTTCTTTGTTAAATAATTATTAAAATATTTTAAGACACAACTAATTTTACAAGAATATGCCTAGCTTTTTAACGAGCATTTTATAATCCATCCCTGGGTTCCAAAGGACCTTACAAGGAACAACTACAGCAAACAGGACACAATCAGGACACGAACTAATCGCCACATCAAAATGTCAGGTGGCATGTTATAGATTTCCTTGTGTTCCCCTTGTGTGCCTGCAACACTTTTTGCACTAAGCAGCAACATGACGTACTTACTACGTACATATGACCCCCTGTCAGGGGAAAAACTTGGTTTGCTCTGCTGTCGGTTGGGTTTCCGTTTTGGAAAATGCTGGCAAGACTGTTTTGCCAATTCGATGGGGGGAGGGGGTGGCATGCAACATTAATGAGGAGCATATTCTCGCTTTGCTGCCAAATCTAAGTTACGACGTCTTCGCTGGCGAGGGCGACGTTGCGTATACTTGATCTTGTTACACGCACAGCTAAATGTCAATTTATTTGCCACACTCCAAAACACTAAGCCGACAACCATGGCCACATCATCCCTCTCTGTCTCACCCAGCACCCAGCCATCTCTTTCTCCGTCTGATGAGCTGTAATCGATGAGCTCTGCGGCCCTCGACTGACTTACCGACTGACAGACGACGTCTGCAAAACTCTCTCGGCAATTTGATTAAAACTCATCGGGGGCAATCGAATTATGGTGGAAATTTATGCGCTTGAGCGAAACTTTTTAATGATTTTAATCATCATTTATTCTAATTACATAAATCCTTATAATGAGCGGCAATTGAAAATGCAAGCACTTAGGAGATGTTGGCATTGAATTGATGGTGGATACTTAAGGGTTGACTTTCTTGAATAATACGCTTTAAAAATAATCACCCAAAAGTATGTGGGCATAGAAAGTGATTTGTAGTGAATTCAGAGCAGGTTTTATTATTTTTCTGAGTGTCAAGCGATAGTAAAATGCAGCTATCAGTAAAGAGGAAGCATTTCAATTAACCTTGCCCCTAGAATGTTTAATTACCTTAATATAAGATTAAGCTTTTAAATTGAAACGGAATTCCCTGGAATTTATATTGCTTTGCAATCCCAGTCAGCGATGATAAGGAAATGTCAATAAAGGCTTTTCATTAACCACAAAGCCATTTTTCATTTAACCTTGCTCTTTTATTTTCTTTTTTTTCTATTACTTCCACTTTCATCTGTTACGAAAAAAATTGAACCCCCTGCTTTATAGAGGGCTTTATTGTCTGCAGTTCAGGTGCATTTTACACCCTGTTTATGGGGAGCCGTCTAAAAAGGCCAGCAAGAAATCCCCGTAAATTGAAAACGAAAGTTGAAATGCAAACACACAAATGGAACGAGACACAAATGGGGGAAAAAGCCAGTAAGCGAGAAATATTATTTTTATGTAACCTTCTATTTTGCCAGGCAAACCGCAGACGATGGAGCTCCTTCCCCTTGAATCCTGTTTCTTTTCCATTCTTTCCCTTTTTGCCCTGCTGGTCACAGCTGACGACGATGAGGGCCCCAAGTCAATAATGCCGATAGACGGCAAATAAAAATTCCCTTTTTTATTTGGGTGGGAAGTGAAAGGGCGGTAGCAGGACTAACAGCACGTTTTTCGATTTCATTGCTTTGTTGTTATTGTTTCGGGCCAGACAAAAGGCGTCTGGGGTTACGAAATGAATGCCAAAAGCAGCCACGCAGCAGAAATTTTGATCCAAGGGCCGCCAGCCATCCTTTTGGCCATTAATAAAATACCAAACGATGGCTAGGATCGGTATACCCCGGTTAAAATCCCTTTTCACTGATTCACTCCTTTTTGCCAATTTCTCGCCTGCCTTTGACTTTGACTTTGTGGCTTTGTTTTCATTTCAATGCCAGACACCGTTTCCCAGTGGCAATAGTTACAGTTCCCTCCCGAGTGGCAGTTGAAAAGTTGCAGTCGGTGAAAGCGGAAGCGGAAATCGCCGGACAACTAACAAGCAGAGCGAACAATTGTCAAATCTCCTTTTTTCTCCTTCTCCAAACGCGAAAGTCAAAGTCGCCAGGGCAGACAGAATGGATTCCCCAGCTCTTTGATTGTTTGATGTCTCGTCTGCATTGTCTTCCTTTTGGCCATTCTTTTTCCAGCGACCAATTGGCAATTATTTTAGACAAATAATTGCTTAAGCCAGAAATTGTTTGGGGAACGTGGCTGAACTCCCAAAGCCAGTTAACTCCGCTTGGTCTATAAGTTTCGAGGAAATCATATTCTGGGAAAAAATATATATATATCAAATCATCAATTAAGCTATGTAAGCTGAATATGATCTTATTTGAAATTTGTGGACTAAATTTAAGTATTGGAAATTGCTTTAAAAATAAAGTTACTTCACTAGAAAATAAAAATAAATATTTAAATAAATAAAAAATATATAAAAATTCATTTCTAAAATCCCTTACTATCCATGTTTCCCATTAACTATTTAAACTAAAAAATTCAATTTTATTCACATAAAATCGCATATTTTCCTGGGTAATTTGAGTAACTCTTTCGCACTCGCCAAAGTATTCGGTTACCCCGAGAGGTAAGTGTTTTTGTGATGACGGAAGCCGCTCAACTTAATTCAAAGTTCAGTTCAATGTGGCAGCTAACTGGTTCGACTTGGGGGTCTGGTTCAGAGACCGGGACCGGGATCCCCTCGGTCATATGAGACACTTGAGAAAGAATCCGCTGCTGCTGCCGGTCTTTCAACATGCGAAACCTAACACTCGGCGTGGGTGGAACAAACTTCAAGGGGGACTCTAAGTACACAGAGCTCGTATTTTCAGCTTCATTTGTGGGTCATTTGCTGTGATTTCGTTTGTCCAAAGCCGATGCTAAGCGGATTTTAAATGCCTCTCAAGTGGTTGGCTGCTTTGTTGATTTTAGATGAGTTATGAATGGCTAATTGCCCCGATGAAAGCTTGGCATTAGGTGGAGAAATGGGTGCTAAGTGAAAGGAGAGGAGCAGTGAACAAAGCAGGGATTACGCAAATACGAGTACGTAACTTAATCGGATAAGCAGGGTGTTAAATTGGATCTAATGTTGGTTGGTAATGTAGAATTTGTGATTTATTCGAATAATTAAACGGAGAGTATTGCCAGCCTATTAAATAAGGTAAGTAAGCAAGGTATATTTCAGCTCCTTCTCAAACATTATCCAACTGACAATTGCTGAAAGGCTTTCAGGCTGCCATTAAAGATACAATATATATCTGCCAAGGAGTATTCAATCTTTAAAAGGGCGGAGAAGGGCGGTGAATTCTGGATGCTGACAGTTGATTGAACACTTTTTGAAATGACAAAAACGCCCCACGGGTGACATTTCTCAAAACACTTTACTGCGTCTGCACCGGGTTCGCTCGTCCGCCCTTTCCCCGCCCAGGGTTTTCCCTCCGGTCGGTTAGGTGTTGCAATCTTGATTTACGAGTCAGTTTGGGGAGGTGGCAGTTCGGGGAGCTGGAGACCTGGAGGATACCATTTGCATAGCGTCGGACCAACGGAAAGGAGCCAGCGGCCAATCATTAAAACGTCGGCATGATGAGTTCTCCCCGAGTATCTGGGTATCTGCTGCTCCGTCTGTATCCATCTAGCATCCCGAGGCTTCTCTCGCGGTTTTAAATTACCATTTTAATGCTGCCCAGTGCCGTTGATTGATGTGGTATGATGATGCTGATGCGGATACTGTTTTTCAGGGGCAGCAGTCAAAATGTAAATGCTTCCAAAGCGAAGTGAGGCGTTTTTCCTCCTAACAAGCTTTTGGCATTTTGTCTACCGTTTTCGCTTTAAAGCCATAAAATGGGGAAAAGATTTTTTTAATGCTGTCCATAAAAGTGAAGCTTCTGCAGCAGACCCACTATACTATACTATACCATATATATATTTTTCTGTCTGAGCGACAGGCTCACCTATTAACAGATACTTTGGGACACTTCATTTCGGACCCTGCTGCTGTTCGAATGATTTGAGTTATGAGTTTTCCCCCGCCCCCTTTCAACACACACACAAACGCACCCGCCCACGCAAAAGTCCCCATTCTCCATAGGAATTCCTACCCGCTGATTGAGCACAAGTGCCTTGCTGACTGACAGACTGACACTTTGGGCTTTTAAATGCCTCGAAAATCCACTTATTTTCGGATTGGCTTTTAAGCAGCTCCCGAAAGATGCACTTCACCCACCTTGAGTTTTATTTCTTTTGAAACTACAGTTGGAGTCGCTATTCGAATTTCTATCAGCTTTGCTAGCTTTGCTAATCAAACCTCTTTAAACCTCTCTTTTGTAGTAAAGACCTTATCAGTGTTGAAATGAGTTATTAATTGTCACCCCTGTTATCTCTAGAACTTTATGTTTCCCAGAACCATGATGAACTCAATAAATTCAGAGAAATCCATTCAAGATAAGAAAGACACGCGAATCTATAATACGTAAATCACATGATCTGAAACATTTTATTCTTATAAAGGCAACTTTAGTGCACTCCCATCACAAGTGTCACCTTAAAGGGGAAATTTTATGTTGCAGCTCAGACATTTCACGCCCTCAGGCAGTCGACAAACAGGCATAAAACTTGTCTCCTCTTATTTCACTCAGAGGAAAAATAAGAAGAAAATGTAAGAAAATAATTTTAATGGCGCCAAATACTTGTAAGTAAGCTGGGGAAGCGACTGAGGCAAGTTGACACTAAAAGTGAAGTTGGGCCAAATGCATTTCCTGCTGGCAGAGGAGACCCACACTTGTTCTTCCACTCGACTTCCGTTTCGATTTCATGTTTTGTTGACTGCGTAGGTGTGAAGTGAATTTTCTCCTTGTGGCAAAATTACCCCCATTTCCTCCTCAAAAACTACATGTTCTATGCATGAAATCATCCTCTCAGTACTTTTGCACTTTGTGTGAGGGGCCAAGGGCGATGTCTTTTCATATTTCTCTTGGCGTTGACATGATTGCTTATAAATGCAATTTTATATATCATATCAATCCCGAGCCAAGCAAAATAGGGGGCCACCAGTTGGGGTTATTGGTTTTGATGATTATTATTACAAACAGATTTTTACTCTGCCAAGTGAATGCTCTTTTTGTATACCACATGTACTGACTATGATGCCTTTTGAAATGCCTGTTATGGGATAAACATTGAATCATCCAGGAAACGACAATAGGGAATTTCCTAGCGACCATAAAATGAATACCATAAATTCTTTCATTATTTTTGTTATCATCTGTTGGTAACCAAAAAAACCTAACGAAAAAGAAGAAAGATTAAAATACACATACAAAAATTTTTAACTTATTTTATGTATTGTACTTTTTGTTTTTCCTAGAGTATTTGTTAAAGTGTTATTTTAATCGTAAAGTTACTTTATAATTAAAACGGTAATTAATCCATAAAATCATATAATAATTAACTAAATGTTAATAAATCATTTACAAAAAAAAAATTGCTGTTTAATTGTTAATTTACATTTTTTTGGCAATATAAATTACTAAACAATTTAATAAATTAACCAGCTGACAAAAACTTTTCTTTTTTTTTGTGTGTAAAAATACCCCAATATAAATAAAGCGCGCTTTGAGTAGATCTCATTCAGCAAAGTCTTCTTAACACAAACGGTCTAGTCTAAGATTAAGCTGCGCTGGATTGATAAGAACACAAGATGATGTGGTTATTTCTCTGGGCTTGTATTTTTCAATACATGCTGACAATAAATGCCAACGGGTGAGTTGAATGCCTGAAGTATAATATAATAATTCTCTTATTTATATCCCAGTATATATTCTATATCGTGCCCCGACACCATACATTCCAATATCAACTACAATGTAACCGTTTCACTGCACGGGGCAGATGGACCCGGTCGAATCAGGGTCAGTCTGAATGGACCCTCGTTTGCGAGGAGCCAGGAGGTCTATCTTCAGCCCATGTCCACGCAGATACTTTCTTTCGCCATCCCAAAACTCTCGAGTGGTGATTACCAACTCACCGCCGAGGGAGTTGAGGGCGTCATTTTCAAGGAGTCCTCCAAACTGTCCTTCTCCGACGACAAGGCCTCCATCTACATTCAGACGGACAAGGCCACCTACAAGCCCGGCGACCTCCTGCAGTTCAGGGTTCTCTTCCTGGACAGGCACACTCTGCCGGCCAGGATCGACAAGCCCATTGGTATACAGATACACGACGGCGAGAAGAATCAGATCAAGGAGTGGAAGGAGGTCAGACCCACGAAGGGAGTTTTCGCGGGAGAGCTCCGCCTGTCCAATCGTCCGGTTCTGGGAAACTGGACCCTTGCAGTCGCCGTTCAAGGTGAGAGCACGGAGACCAAGGTCATTGGGGTGGACAAGTACGTGCTGCCCAAGTTCGAGGTCAGAGTTCAGACACCTCCGAATGTGGTGGCCAGTGATGGCAAGATCAAGGCCACCATTCGAGCCAAGTACACCTTTGGAAAGCCGGTCAAGGGCAGGGCGACCATCTCAATCGAGGGAGGACGAACTGAGAAGACCGTGGACATCGATGGAACTGTCAATGTGGAGCTTCCCTTTGAGGCCACTCTGAAATCCCCCCTGAAAGTTATGGCCACTGTGACGGAGGAGCTCACGGATCTCAAGCACAATGGTTTTGCCTATGTAAATCTTCACCAGAATCGCTACATCCTTTTGGCTGTCGACTGGCCGCAGAGCTACCAGGCTGGAAAGGAGCACTCCTTCCGGGTTGCAGTCACCAATGTTGATGGTTCCCCAGTCAATGGTTCGAGAAACAGTGTTAAATTCGATTTCCTTTGCGGTCAGAGAAATGAAATCTCGGCTCCCCTCAGAGGGGACAGTACAGCCATGGGAAAAATTATTTTTCCGGATAATAGTTGCAGGAAATGCGTAGTGACGGCCTCATTTGAAGGCTCAGCCTCCCTCAATCAAACCATTTTCAAGCTGGAAAAGTCAATCAGGATCGAGATCGATAGTAAAAAGCAAGTGCTATTAAGGGAATTTCTCTATATTGTTTTAATAATATTATGTATTATACAGACACGAACTGAGAAAAAAGGTGAGCTTCAATGTGGTGTCCACTGGGTACCTGCCCCACTTCATGATCACGATCGTCGCTCGTGGTAATATCATAAAGAATCAGTATGTTCATGTGCCCAGGGGCGTTAGAAGCCAGAGGCTCTCTGTCATGCCCACCTTTGAAATGGTGCCCCAAGCCACTCTTATTGTGAGCTACGTGGTGAACGGAGAACTGCGCTCCGATGAGGAAACGATCAATTTCCAGAAGGCCTTTGGCAACTCGGTAAAAAGTTCATTAATAAATTCAAATAATACTTAATAAATTAAAATAAATTATATTACAGATTGAAATCACAGTACCAGCCAAGGCAGAACCCGGCGAAGTGGTCAACTTGTCAGTAAAGACCGATCCCCATTCCTTCGTAGGACTTTTAGGAGTCGACCAGAGTGTTCTGCTTCTAAGGTCCGGAAACGACCTCAGTCAGGATCGCATCTTTGATAATCTCAGCAATTTCGCATCGAACGGCCTGGTAACCCTGACCAATGCACACATAAAGGATGAAAGCGCGGGTAAGTTAAATGAATTGTATTATTCTTCTAACTGGCTAACCCATATCTACTAGATCTAGATGCACTTACTTATTTTGAGACGTGCGGACTCGGCAGTCGTACTGCAGCAGGCACCACTCCGAAGCCAGGTAAGATAGTTCCAGCCAGTTTAAGCTATAACTAATATTTCCAATAACCAGGCAAAAAGTCACCCATTCCAAAGGATGTACTATCGACCAAACCCGAATTTACACCCCCACCAATTCGTCAGGAGTTCCCTGAAACCTGGCTCTTTGCGAATATCACCGAGTAAGTTGCAGGTTCATAGTTATGCAGAGATGTTATTAAATCGGAATTAATACTACCCACAGCGTTGGGCCAAATGGAGCAGTGCTGAGTAGCAAGATCCCCGACACGATGACCTCCTGGGTCATTACTGGCTTCTCCCTGAACCCCAATTCCGGATTTGCCATGACAAAGAACCCCTCTAGAATTCGCGTGTTCCGGCCGTTCTTCATATCCACCAACCTGCCGTATTCCGTGAAACGAGCCGAGATCATAGCCATTCCGGTGGTGGTTTTCAACTACCTGGACAGGCAGGTGGAGGCCACCGTGTGGATGGATAACTCGGATCAGGAGTACGATTTCTCCGAGGTCGTAAGTGATAAGCAGGCGAGGGATGTGCCACAGGCTCGCCGTTTCAAGCGACTCACGATTCCCGCCAACACCGGAAGAAGCCTCTCCTTCATGATTCGTCCCAAGAAAGTCGGCCTAACTGCGCTGAAGATCACCGCCCAGTGTCCTTGGGCTCAGGACACCATCCATGAAAACTTGAGAGTGGAGGCCGATGGTGTGACTAAGTACGTTAACAAGGCCATTCTGATCAAGGCCAATCGCAGGCATAGCCGCAGTGTGGGAGCTTGGGAGAGTTTGGGAGAGCCCGAAAAATCCATTGAGGTCGAGATGCCACCGGATGTGGTACCAGGTTCCGAATCCACGATATTCTCAGTGGGCGGCGACATTCAGGCTCCCAATCTGGAGCACATAGACGCCCTGGTTAACCTGCCCTCCGGCTGTGGAGAACAGAACATGATAAACCTTGTGCCTAACATCATGGTTCTTCGCTTTCTGGAAGCCACTGGCCGCAAGGATTTCGCCATTGAGAAGCGGGCCAGGGGCTTTTTGGCCACCGGCTACCAGACCGAGCTGACCTACAAGCATGGCGACGGCTCCTACAGCACTTGGGGACCCAGTGATTCCCAGGGTAGCACTTGGCTCACCGCCTATGTGATCCGCTCATTCCACATGGCCAAAAATTTCATACACATTGACTCAAGTGTCCTAAAGGACGGACTGCGTTTCCTGGCATCCAAACAAAGTGGAAACGGCGAGTTCCCAGTAAATGGCGTATATTACGAGGAAATGAAGAAACCCCTGGCCTTCACCTCCTATATTCTGCTCACCTTCTTCGAGAACGAGGTAAGATTTTTATATTACTACACACAACAAAAAAATAGTAATAGAAACGAAACTATTATTACTTGAATTCTACACTATTGAGTGTCATATTTGCATTAATAAGATGAGTATTAAATGAATACTTTCAAAAGTATTAAATTTAAACTTTCGGTATAGAAATGAAATTACAAAAAAATAAGCTGATAATATTTCCTTTGAATTTTTATACTTAATCAAGTAGAACACTTTTTATACCCTTGCAGAGGGTATTATGATTTCAGTCAGAAGTTTGCAACGCAGTAAAGGAGACGTTTCCGACCCCATAAAGTATATATATTCTTGATCAGCATCACAAGACGAGTCGATCTAGCCATGTCCGTCTGTCCGTCTGTCCGTCTGTCTGTCTGTCCGTCTGTCCGTCTGTCCGTCTGTCCGTCTGTCTGTTTCTACGCAAACTAGTCTCTCAGTTTTTGAGCTATCGGGACGAAACTTTCGCAAAAGTCTTCTTTCTATTGCAGGTAGTATATATGTCGGAGCCGACCGGATCGGACAACTATATCTTATAGCTCCCATAGGAAGGATCGGAAGAAAAAAACTTTAAAAATTCTAGCTTCGGTGTTTTTAAAATATTACCTTCTACTTTTGGGGATGTTATTTTTAAATATTTCTGAATTTCGAATTAATTATTTAAAAAATCGGACTACTATATCATATAGCTGCCATAGGAACGATCGGAAAATTAATGGAAAAGTAATAGGAAATAAATTCTAGCTTCTTTGATTTTTATTGTATTATCTTCTACTCTAGGATATGACTCTTTTTAAATATTTCCGAATTTCAATTTTAATTTTATCAAAATCGGACGACTATATCATATAGCTGCCATAGGAACGATCGGAAAATTAATGAGAAATATTAGAAAATTAACATTTTTGCGATTTGTTAATTAATAGGAATGATCTGCAAGGGTATATAAGCTTCGGCTGGCCGAAGCTAGCTTCCTTTCTTGTTTTTTTGTGTATTATACATAACGATATAAAGAATATTATTATTAAATCCCTTCCAGGAATACCTGTCGCAATACCAGTATGTGATTGACAATGGAATGCGTTATGTGGCCAGCCAAGTGGACAACACCAATGAGCCGTTGTCTTTGGCTTTAGCTGCTCTGGTCTTATCACTGGCCCAAAACCCAAAGGCCGGTGATGTCCTAACCCGACTGGAGGGCATGGCCAGGACTAAGGAGAACTTGAAGTGGTGGTCCAAGCAGCCGGACTCCGTGGGATACAGGGACGTGGAGCTGACCGCCTATGTGCTGCTTGCCATGCTGGAGAACGGATTCACGGAGGAGCCCCTGCCCATCATCGAGTGGTTGAATGGCCAGAGGAACAGCAACGGCGGCTTTGGCTCCACACAGGATACGGTTGTGGCCCTGCAGGCCATCACCAAGTTCTCAACGGAAATCGCTTTGCCCCCCGGCGATATGGATGTTACGTATCGGTATAAGGAAGACGGACCGGTATCTAAAATAAGAGTCAATCGCGACGAGGTGGGCAAAATGCATTATCAAGAGCTGCCGAAGAATACCGCCCAGGTTTATGTCTCCGGCAAGGGAACCGGAGTATCATTTGTCCAGCTCTCTTATCGCCATAATGTGGCCACCAAGGAGGCGCAGCCCAGCTTCAAAGTAACCACCACCGTCAAGGACTCGACCAACAAGCATCTCAAGCTGCAGGTTTGCGCTGAATACACTCCCCTCGAGGCAGCTGACAGGGGAAAACCCTCCAACATGGCGCTCATGGAGATCCAGCTGCCCTCTGGCTTTGTTCCCGCATCCGAGGACCTCGACAAGATCCGCTCCTTTGCCGGCGTCAAGCTCGTCGAGACCAAGAACGAGGACTCCATGGTGGTGGTCTACTTCGACAGCCTGACCAAGGGTGACCCCAAGTGCGTGACCGTGACCGCAACTCGTGCCCATGCGGTGGCCATGCAGAGGCCATCCTACGTCATCGTCTACGACTATTACGTCAAGGAGCGAAGGGCCACCCAGTTTTACCAGGTGGAGTCCTCCCTGTGCGACATCTGTGAGGGCGAGGACTGCGGGCGCAGGTGCTAAGAGAGTCGATATTGGATCAGACCATAAGAGAAACTCAAACTAAAGGTCCTTGAAATTATTAACATGTTTAACTAACTAGAAAAACATGAATAAAAAACTTAAGAATATTTAAAGTGGTTTCAATTATAATAACACATATTCCTCCTAGAAAAAGTAAAGAAATAACAGCTCACTACACAAAAAACGTCACAAATTTCCGATTTTATTTAAAAAAATTTACATTGTGTAAAAAAATAATTTAAAACAACATTTATTTTAAATGCATATTTTGGGAATTAGTATAGATTTTGGAATACAGTCTCAACAACCCAGTTTTGTTTTTGGGTGATAGGTCAAGGTTTTCTGATAAGGAATTTTTGATTAAAATAAGTTTTATGGTTTTCGTTTAGTTCCAAATTATATTTCATCAGAAAGCTAGAACTTTCAGAGAAAATCAACACCGAATCAAATTATTAATTTGATTCATCTCCTGACTTTAACCAAAAGTATAAATACAGAATATTTTTAAAGCATTTACTTTAAATAATCACAAACAGCCATTATAAGCTCAGCATAAACTATTTCATTGTGAAGAAAGTATTTCAAACTTTTCTGTATTCCTTTATTCTCAAAGTTTTGCGAAAATTCTTTAAGCTAAAGCAGGAAGCTTTAACAGCCAGCCTCAAATGCTAATGACCCACATAAGTCATTAACTTGGCCCCGATAAACGTTAAATAAACGTTGGAAAAAAGTTGTGAGAATTTCCGCCTCAAAGCGAGAAGAAAATTCCAATGGGGCATGGAAAAACGAGGGGTATGGGAAAAGGAAGGAATGGTTAGCAGCATCGTAAACTTTTCACAGGACATCATCATCATCATCAGCAGACACATGCCCCTCCTCCACTTTGACTCCCTGGATTTTAGCGGGTGGAACGCCTGTCAGTTGCTCATCAAATTGCGTGCCGCCTGCAGGAAATTAAATAATTTTGTGTAATGAAAAAAAAAGGACAAGGAAAAAAGCAGAAGAGCGGCAGCATTAATGTTAATGCATTTTTTTCCTTTTCCTCGCACAGAGCCAAAAACAAAAGCAAACACTTAAAATGATTGTTGTGGGCGGTTGTTTATCTGTGTGTGTGTGTGTGCCACGCCCTCAAGCAAAACGCACATAAAACAAAAAAATTATAGCATAAATTCTCAGTTTGTTGGCTGAATTTCATTGCAAATGTGCGCACATTTTCCAATTGAAATGCCAAACACGAAAAGCGAAAATTTCACAGCTCCCATTTGTTGTTGTTACCTGATGGGCGATATATGTACATATTCTTGTGGATATATGTAAACCGCCATATAAAGGTGGCAACTGCAGAAGCTGAATTTTCTGCCTCTGTCGCTTGTTTGATTTATGTAGGTGCCACCATTCTGCACTTGTTCGTAATTGTTGTTATTATTATTGTTATTGCCAATAGGCAGAGGCACGCAAATAAACAAAGAATGCCTACTTAAACTTTTAAATATTAAACCAAGAATTTGGGAAGATAAAACAAGGAATAAGATATATATTAAAAAAATAAATTATTCAAAAAAAAATAATAAAATAAAATAACAAAAAAAGAATACTTTTTAAAATAAATTCAAAAAATATTTCATGCTTCTTTAGTTACATCTTTAATACAATTTTATTTTTCTTTGATGTTTTTATCCATTTTTATTGGATTTCTATCCACCGCAACCGTTTCCATTAGAAATTCGCATCTCAAATTAATTTTGACAGGCGACGCACCCAAACCATTTAACGCTTTTCCAGCATGGCACCCCCGCCCCTTCTTTCTCCCATTTTCCACGGGGGGAAAAACCAACAAGAGCTGACCATTTGAAGGGCAAAAACACGCAAAGAGCGAAGAGAGAGAGGGACATGGACACACACCTAAATTATGGCCCCAAATGATTTGAAAATAGCAGCTGTAATTTGTTTGCCAACACACAGACACGCACTCAAACCCACACGCAAACGTCCACGGACCCCTGAATTTATCCCCATTCGGAAAATCCTCCTCCAGCTCTTTCCAAAAAAAAACCCCCCAACAAACAATTCTTCTCTGGGAGACTCCACTCCACCGAAAAAGGCGCAACATATGCGAACATTTTTCCATGCACTCCGAGACCTTGGGGACTGCATTATGATGATGGTGGGTGGCTGGAGGCTTTTGGGTTGGCGGAGCGATAATTAGACAAAAGCCGGGGACACACGCAGACATGGCTTCAATTTCATGACATTGTCGGGCTTCAGAACAGGACAAAGTGGCAAAAACGCAGAGTGGGTGCGGCAGCTTTTCATTATTATTTGGAAATTAAAATTCCCCACTCAAAAGTAAAGTTCTCCGGAGCGCAGCATATGTGCATTTGGGATTTTGACATCTCATTCCCCGATTTTTAAGAGCGAGTCCAAAGGGTGGGGCCAAAAAAAAATGCACGTACTCGCCATTTTTTAATTGATTAAATATGAAAAAGGCAAAAAAGCACGACAAGGATGCAGATGGAATGCAAGGGGGAAATCAGAAGCTGGTGCCATGAATATTAAAGACAAGTGCATAAAATTAAAAAAAAATATTTAACGTACAAGGAGTAAAACGGGAGAATTGCAATATAAATAAACACCATTTCTGGCTTAATATAAACCGACTATTTTGTCAGAACTGACATGCACATAAATCTAAAACAGAAATAACAAATGTGTAAATCAAGTTGAAAAATGCCGAAGATTTCGTTGATGTTTACGTAAAATATCAAAGTTTATTCAGCTGGAGTTGCCATAGTGATTGAAGCGGGAACTAACTCCTCCGACTAACCGACTCACATCGCTCACTCAATCAGCAACCCTTTTCGGTAGCCTTTTACCCATATCTTCCCCCTGAAATCCCCACCGACTTCCGGATGGAGTGACAAATTTGCACTTAGCCTGGATTTTTCTCTGCACTTGTTGAGAATCGTGAGCTGCATTTATCTGCTATTGAATTTCAACCGAAAAAAAGGCCATAAAAAATATCGTGAATCCGAATTTATAGCTCCGATTTGCTTTCCTCGTTCTTTTTTTCCTTCCCTTGATTTGTGGGTGGGGAAAAGTTTGCGTCTCGCTAGTTTACACGAAAATGAATCGCATTAGTTGGGGTTGAGTGATTTGGAAATTGTGGCTACGCCAAATGGCGCTAATTTCCCTAGCAACTTTATTTTCGTGGGCCAGCCTGTCTGCGGCTTAAAGTTTTCGCCTGGTTTTGCTCACTTTAATTGAACTTAATTAAGTTTACCTTGCCAGCGAAAAGCGGGAACTTGAAGAGTTTAACAAAAAAATAAGTGGGTGACTTTAAATGGGGATTTACAAGAGAGTTGGACGTATACTTAATATTTGGTATATTTAATTGCATAACTAGGGTTTCTATTCTTTGACCTGGCTTACCACGTAACTGCCCCACATTCAAAATCAATAACTCTGTTACCGACTGCAAGCGATTAATTTAGAACCTTTCAACAAACTCCGTAAGCCAGCAATTTTATCTACTCTGAAATGTACATAATTCGTTGACAAAATAGCTAAATTGAAGCCTACAAGTCCTGCCAACCTGGCTGAACGGAAAAGAAAACCAGAACAAAGCACTCTAGGGCTCGACAGCGAAATACCCTGTGAAGAAAGTATAAATATTGTGACTAAACCAAGGAATTTTCTTCTTTCAGGGTATAGGGAAAATCTGTCAATTTGGATTTTAGAAGAGCTCTCACCGAATTGACTGCCAGAGTTCACATCATGAAATATTTAAGGCATCCAACTTCTTGAAACAGGAACTGGGGAGCTCATCGCCCAATCGTGTGTAAAGTGACAACTTTATTCCCCGGCTTTTTTGGATCGAAAAAGCAACGAAAAGCAACGAAAATGTCAACCAAGTCCGAAACTATTTTCGTGTCCATTCGAATATTTAAAGCGTTTGCGGCTTTCTGGCCGCCCAAATAAAAAATAGAAAGAGCCCCTAACCATGGATATTCCGGGTTTATTGGTTAGTTGTGCTGGTTTTATTGCCAACACTGTGTCCTGTTTATTCAAACAAGCCCCAAAGTTCGGGAGAGGCAGTCCTGCGGTTGCCATTAAATCCTTAAAAATACCTCAATATATATGTATGTGTGTAGGATTTTCAAAAACAAGGACCCACCTCCGGTCCTGCTGTCAATGCGCCTCATAAATTGTGTATAACATTCTGACCAGTTAATGGATTTAAATTTTCATGTGTGTTTTGCTGAGGCGGCAAACTAACACACAAATGCTTCCATCAGAGGTTTTTGCGGCTTCCTAACAAATTGCATTTAGTTTTGTGTGCCTTTTGGTTTTTTAGCCACTAAATTTTCAGTAAATTTCTTGGCCTAGTTTGTGATGAAGGAAAAATGCCTTTTGTCTTGACACAAATGTAATATAAGTTTTCAATCGAAAAACCGCAGGAAAGGAATTTTGTTTTCAGCACACAAAAATGTGGCTTTAAAGAGTATTTACTTAAAGTTGTCAATGGATCTTGCTTGGCATCTGACATTTTTATTTATCTTGAGTGACCACTAAAGTGCAGCTGGAATTAGCAAGCCAAATGATTGGCCCGAAAAGGTCATCTCTCGATCTGAATGCCAGCAATCAAAAACTAATCAATATGGCTGAATAAACTCACTAGATCGGCCAGATACTCGTTGACTAAAGTTTGAATAAATTCAGCCGCAAAGGCTAGGTAAATCGAAGGCCTCCTCAAATTCAAAACCTCATAGTTCAAAACATTTTGTGGGTAAATGCAAATTTATTGCAAGTAGTTGAGGATGAAAATGGGGGGAAAAGAAGGGGGTGGTGCAAAAAAAAAAAAGAATTTGCGTATTCGAATCCGAATTGAACTGAGAATACAAAAAGTCTCTCTGCTGCATGTAGTAAAATATGCTAAAAGTAAATCCAAGTTGAATTAATGGACAGCAATCTTTGGATAAATCTTACGCATTTTCAAATGCACACAAGGGGTATGTATGTGTGTGTGTGTGTGTGTGAGGGGGAGGGGGGTGGACATTTGCATAACCGCAGAGCAAGCCAGTAAACCAGAAGGAACTCGACTCCGGCCACAATTTATGCAAATTCAATTGCAACAACTTTAGCAGTCGCCACTTTTTCAGGTTCTCTTTTTTCCCTCTTTTTTTTGCCCATTTATATATGTGATGGTCAGGCCAATCGATGGGCAGTAATCCCGATTCCCGAAGATAGCTTTGTCCGCAATGATAGCCGGAATTTGTGGCAGGTTTTTGTTTGATTTTCACCCATTAAATTTAATGAATGAATACACATTTCTTGCGTGATTTTTCCTCGAGAAAAGAAATCAACGACTGACAGCTTACACTGATTACAGTTCAATGCCAACAGTTGCCCAAGAGTTTAATCCACTTCCACTCACAACTCCCCCTTCAATTGCCTTGAGTTTCACCGAGTTCTCAACTCAATTCAACTCGCTGCAGACAACACAAATCAACACCTACACGCGCCGAATGAAAATCTCTGGGGCTGCGGCATTATTATGTCTCCATATGCGAAGTCTGGGGATAATAATCACAACTAATGCGACAACCGCCTTAGTTACTTAACTTTGATGTTGCTTTTCCATGGCAAAGTCCGTGGAGCGTATGTATGCTCGTAATGCCACTGCTGAGGATAGGATTTTCGCAGGAATGTAGAACAAACTGAATTCGCCTTGAGCTAATGAATGAAAGCAACTTTGCCGGAGAAAAATGTTTGAATGGAGATGAGGGAATAGGGAAATCTTGGCGAAATAAGTAGCAAAGTTAATGGAAGCGGGGAGTGGGTATGTAAATCTTAAAGATTGTATACATTTAATGTGGAACATATTACTAAATAAAAATAAAATTGAATTTTTATACCCGTTACTCGTAGAGTAAAAGGGTATACTAGATTCGTGCAAAAGTATGTAACAGCTAGAAGGAAGCGTTTCCGACCCCATAAAGTATATATATTCTTGATCAGGGTCACTAGCCGAGTCGATCTAGCCATGTCCGTCTGTCCGTCTGTCTGTCTGTCTGTCTGTCTGTCTGTCTGTCTGTCTGTCTGTCTGTCTGTCCGTCTGTCCGTCTGTATGAACGCTGAGATCTCAGAAACTACAAAAGCTAGAAGGTTGAGATTTCCCACACATATTCTTTGGCTTCCTACGCAGCGCAAGTTTATTTTAGCCGAGCGCCACGCCCCCCTAACGCCCACAATCGCCCACTAACGATTTTAAAATGGGTCCTGCGCCCACATCTTTAAAGATTTCCGAGAAGTATAAATGCAATTTTGTTGTGTATATTTATACCTATCGAAATGTAGAAGACATTTTCAAATCGGACCATTCATTAAAAAGTTATACGCAATCAAAAATTATATATCTATCTCCCTCGCACTTCCTTTAGCTGAGTTACGATTATTAGTCGGGACACCAACCCGACACAGCGTTCGCACTCCCTTTAGCTGAGTGACGGGTATTAGATAGTCGGGACAACAACCCGACTATAGCGTTCTCTCTTGTTAAGAAGTAATATTCTTGAAGTAATTATATACAAATAACATTTTAATATCACAGCTTTTATATAAGAAAATTAATAAGCTTATGATATTTCCAATATTTTTTGGAAGTAATTAAAAAAAAATCCATAATTAAAGATATTTCAAAACCAGCCAAAAATTAAATGAAAATACGTAAGTATAAAGTTAGTTTGACAACTGCTTTCGCTTTTCACTTGCCAAACTTCCGCTTTCGCCTCGAACGCATCTGCTTCACTTTCGTTGGCACTTTGAAGGCGCCTCATCGATGAGGACTCCATGCCGCTCCTCCAATTTCTGCAGCTCCTTCTGGGCCAAATAGTTGGCAAAGAACCCGGCACAGACAACGTCTTCCTGGATGGCAATCTTACACATGATTGGCTCTTGTGGGAGTGGAAAAGCGGAGGGAACTTGAACTTCTTCCGCAACATGATTATTTCTTGTTTATTGTTATTTTACGCTACTTTGAGACTCCCCAGCAATCCGCTTCGTGAACTGCAGACAAGCTCGCAGGAAATAGTTTCTCTTTTTTTAAACTATTTTTCCCAACTCCATTTTCAACCGTCAGCTGTTGACGTTTCGCCTTATCGGCGAGTCAACTTGGGTGGCGTTTTAAAGACGCTTTCTGTGTTGGGCTTTTTCGGCTACTGTTTTCACCTTATCTCACCCAGAGTCACAGACACGTTTAATTTTCCCTCCGACATCATAAATCGATTAACCAACGTTGCTCTGGATCATTAACAGCGAGCCGGCTAAAGTTTCAGACATCGGAACGCGACCCATTAGACCCTTTTCAATGTCAGGGCAGCCAAAGGCGCTAATTTGGCTACAACAGCTCTTAGCCAGTTAGACAAAGGGTTGGGCCCGGCAACTGGAAATAAAATTGTTTTTCCACAGAAAAAAATTACCAAAAAAAATAATGATTTTCGAAAAAAAAAATATTTTAGATACAAATTTTAAATCAAAACTTTAAATTTTGAATTTAAGAAAGTAAACATAAATTATTCAAGGAATAAATATTTTATCTATTATTTTTTACTGACAAATACAAAAAAATAATGATTTTCTTAACTTCGTCATATTCATAAGGCTACAATGTAAAAATGGTCTACAAACCAACAATTTTAAAGAAAGTGTACTAAAACCTTTACATTTTTTGCATAGAAACCGCCTTCAAATAAAATGTAAGGTAACTATTTAATAGCATTTTTTTAAATAATATAATTTTGCATTGAAAACTAAACCTATCTAAATTTCTCTCCGTGCATCGACTGCAGTGGACAGCAGCAGGAGTAACAAACATTTTGACGCAGACGAAGGCAACGGATTCCCCTGCTCCGCAAACATTTCAATGAAAGCCAAACTCAGATAGCCAAAAGAGCAGCAGCTGTCATATCTGACATTCGGAGCTAATGCATTTGAATATCCACTCAGCCCAGTCAGTTGCTCCAGTCAGCCCCAAGTGATTTTGTAATAAATAGTTTAAGTTTCGGCTTTTGGCACAAAAGGCGTTGCTTTGTGGCTGATTTGGTATCCGGTTTTTCGCCGCCGCCGTTGATTTCGGGTTGGAAAAAGTCTCGCCTCAGGCGGTTTGGATGAGTTTTCCCCGACTTGTTGGTCGTGGTGGTGGAAAACATTAATCTGTACATCATTAAGACTACTTCGGAAAAGGAGTTTGTCTGACGTTTGACAGAGGCGTGTGAAGAAACGTTTTCGTGTGGGCTTCCCTGACTTTGGTTAATCACTGACTAATGGAATTTTTTCCAGAAGAGATATGTGAGCGACAGGATGAGTGAGATAAGTGGATGTATTTAATATCTGAAGAGGTTTACCATACTGTTTGGATTTGTGATAAAAAATAAAAGAGTAGATGCTTTTTTTAAAATTTTACAGATTTCCAAATATACCTATCCCAACTGACTTATAAATATATCCAGTAAAATATATTTCCAGTTATAACCTTCCCCATTTGACACTCCACTTTGACTTCATTCGTCTGCATCACTACTTATCTGATTTATGACAAAGTCGAAACCAAATTGGATTGCTCGCATCATAACATGTCACAACACTCGAATGCCCCTCACACACCCACTCACGAAGTGAATGAGTGAGTGGAAAATGCCAACTCGTAACATAATTCATGCAAATTATATTAAAACCCATTCAAAACTCACTTGGGTATCACAGCATTCGTAATTCCGATATTTTAGGCAGATAAATTCGGAAAAAAACGTACCTGCAACGATAGAAAGATAACAAGAAAATGAGTTATGTATTTTAGTGGTGGTACAGGAAACTACGGCTAATTATCATAATTTGAATACCATTAGGTGAAATTAATTTTATGATGAGACGTGAGGTTTTGATGATTTCGAAGAGCGGAATAGGGGGCGTATGAGTAATGCAGCTGCGTTTGGAGGCAGCGCAGCGTGAAATTTTCAACAGCCAAAAACAAAATGAAATTGGAACACCAAATACTCCACTCATGGATACTCGACTACGAATACACGTGGGTGGACCCCCAACTGCGAATTATTTGGACACAGACGATGCGATAAATTGTACACACCGCATGTTACAATCTCATTTGCATCACAAAAGTTGGCCAAAATAATGTGCTGCTGGGAAGGGGCCAAAAAACACTCCCCGAAAAGGGCGTGTTAATTATCCACTAATGTTGTCCAATCTTTGACATATTATGTACTGTATAATGTGTGTATCATTTCGAACGCCCTCCGCTTGGCCCAAAAAATTAATGATGTGAGCTGGAAACTGTGCCTAATTGATTTATTTTCTCTGGCCTAATGGCACCCTCAAGTTACATAAGGTTTTTGGGTTACGAAACCGAAAGTAAAGCGTAGCTCAAGGTAATAGTTTTTGAAAAAATTTTACATTAATTTTTTAAAACATATTTCACAACCTTTTCCGCCAATTTCAGCCCCCTTTAAAACCCAACTTAAGCTCTTTAACATCTGGCTCTTACAAAATCCATTCAGGCCATTCCGAAAATGACTTTATCCGGCATCTTACACTTCTCACTCCCCAAAGAAGCAGAGTTGGGGTCAAGTTTATGGGTTGCCTTTAAATTTTACAACTTAAATAGAAGCATTTAGCCCTCGCAGTGACCAGCGTGTGTCCATTGGCATCTTGGGATTCTTCGGTTTCTTTGGTTCGAGAGCTGCGAGCAGATAATGACCCCCTAGTTCCATGGGTCCATGGTGATATAATCAGAGACACACGCCGGGAAACAGTGACTGAAACAACAACTGAAATGCCTGGAAGCGAGTTAACTTTTTCTCATTACACGTTGATGGGTTTCGCTTGATGGCAATGGCAATGGCGATGGCCAGGAACTCGACTCCTTCTCCTACTCCTTCCCTTCGGCAGTCGTAATCTACGCTTATTTTCATTGCCAATTTTAGTTGCGCCCCGAGCGAAACTCGCACATTTCCGTTGACTTTTGTCTTCGACCCTCATTGGGGTGCTGCCCCACTCACCACTCTCCCCTGCATTTTTCCCACTGATGACACCAAATTCACACTTACTAAACGTATCCTCGGGACACAATTCCCTTTGCCACCCCCTCGCCCACCTTTTAAGTGGTAGCTCTCTGATTACAAGGCCTCACCTTGCCACGCATCTCGTTAATCGCAATCTTGGAAAACTTTTCTCAACCTGGAACCTGATCCTGAGCATCAACCGCAGGAGGAATTCAGCCAGCCCAGTCACATCCCACACATCCTTGTTGCAACTATCTTAATCTCTGGTTAGTCACTTTTTGATGTTCTCTCTCCCTTGGCTCCCACTTACTTTACGCTTATTAGCAATTTTCCAAGCAATTAATTTTTATTTAAAGCAAATAATAGAAATTGCAGGGGAAACTTAAAGTTTGCAGTGGAGCAAAGTGGAAGGAAAGGTACTCTTGTTAAGAGCAGGGATATTTTTCAAAAGGTAATAATTGGCAATAATGTGGATTTATAAAAGAGTATGGTATAAGTATTTTAAAACTTAGAGCCAGAAAATTTTAACAAATAAAGCAAGATGAAAACAAATAAATAAAAAGTTCGAAAATGAGAGAAAAAAGCAATGTTTCGACTTAAATTACTTGAGTGGGAGCGAGAAGTACAAACTTCGAGCATATCAAGTCAAAATTGATATCACATAAATTATGTGACATAATATTAAATCGATCATCGTTTCATATCAAGTTTTTTTTGGGTGCAGCAACGCAATGTCCCCTAATATGGTTTCAGAAAATTGACCATTTCTAATCAGATGTGCAATGCCATAGGAATGCAATTTCGGTTTGCAGCCCTCATCATTTACCGATTACCGAATCGATAGCTTTATAAATTCCCCTAAATAACCATTAAAGCCAAACCAACTCATCGAAGTCATTGGCATGAACAGCTTTTGCACAAATGAGGGTTTCCCCGGCCCCCGATCGCAATTTCCGCAAAGGCTTCCCCTATTTCCCATTTACCATCTACCATTTCCCATTCCCTTTTCCCCTAAAAGCACTCCACAGGCCACATCGTTCACTCAGCTTGACCTCATGCATTGCATTCTGCAATTTTCGCTATGCCAAATGTGGCACTTTAAGTGGACAACAAGCAAACTACGAATTGTGGCGGCAACGGGCGATGTTGCTGCTACACCAGCAACATCAACATCAACGGCAGCAGCAGCAGCAGCGGCAACACCAACTTGCAACTGAAACAATTGCAATTGGCCGAAGGTTCAACGCACAGCTGCATTGCGACCGAAAACCGAAAACTGAAAACTGCAAACCGAAAACGAAACAAAAGAAACACATTAGAAAGAGCCCGGGAGCAAAGAGCCACAAACCGTCAGCGAGTTCATGGCCAATGGCAAATAAAAAAGTATATACGAAAAAAACAAAAAAGAAATAACCAGCCAACGAGGAAAAACAATTTTGCACGCCGAATGAACGAAAATTGCAGCTAGGCAGCGGCAATGCAGACGCAGACAAGTAACGCAACCGAAGGAAACCGACTCGAAAAATCTATTATTGAAATCTATAAAGAACCAGCAGGGACCAGACCAGCAGCAGAAGTAGGAGGCGGATCAGCAGGAGCAGCACTGCACTGGGGGAAAAAGTATGGGCTTAAAAATATATTAGGTTTTTGTATAGGTATAGGGAAATAAAAGTATTTGTCTTTCCTTTATTTATTTCAAATAATTTTCATTCAAAAGGAACCAAATGTTAAGGATGTATTTTTTTTAAACTTTAAAATAAAATCCTAATCGATACATTCCTTATATTATATGTACTTCATTTATTTTTATGTAAAATTTAATAGATAATGTTTTCATAACTTCTGTTCGTAAATTCAAAATCCAGTATTTTCGGAAACAGATTGTTAGGTTTCTTGATAAGTGTATATAATATACTAGATAAAAATAAAAAATGGGTTATACAAGTTGAAAAAGTTCCTCCGTTGAAAAAGGTTTTGCCTCTGATATATTTCCGATCAATAAAATGATTTTTAATTTTAGTAAAGTCAAATAATAATTATCCTTTTCCATTTAAACGAAAAAAAATATTTTATTTTTATTAACCTTTCCCTTTTTTGACAGTGCGCACGGGAGTGGTGGTGGCAGGACCATTGACCATTGACCATCTCAGCTAGATTCGGTCGAAGGAAGGTTTGTTTAAGAGTTTTATATACATTTTTAATATGACCAAAGGAGGGGAGTACCCCTGCCCCGCCCCTCCCCTGACCGGGCTAACTAACGTGGCCCATAAGGGGTCGAAGCCGGCAGATTGCGGAGCGATAACAGCAACAACAGCAACTATTAAGTAGCAAATGCTGTTTTTTGTTTCTTTTTCGGGGCGGAGGAGTGGGTTTGCGAGGTGGCAGAGGTGAAGTTCTGGGCGTTGTCAGTTGACTGATGCATTGAGAACTGAATGGAAACCGAGGAAGCACGCGCGTGGAAAATAGATTGAGAAGTGCAGGGAAAATCGCAGGAGTTGGGGTGGCGAATCTCTTGACTTGAAAATCTGATAAAGGCGGCAAAAGTTCCATTGAAGCGGCATAAAAAGCAAATGTAGAAACACAAAGCAAGACACACACACTAAGGAGTTGGAAAAGTGTGGAAAAGCGGAAAAGTGCAGGGCAGAGAAAAGCGACCAGAAACCCTCAAAAGAAACTCAAGACGTCTTCAAGCCAATCCATCCGTAGTTGAAGTCTTTTGGCCAAGAGAAAGAGTAAGCAAGTCTGGCTGGGAAAGAGAGGGAAATTGATGATGTGGATGAATGAACATTGAGCAAAGTGATTAAGATTACGTTAGAATGATAACGCAGCCAAAAAGGTCAGAGCTCTCAAAAGTATATATACACAATAAAGTGAAGTAAGCAGGCAAAAAAGGGGGAATATTCAAAGAAATTGCATTAAAAATAGAGTAAAAATGCAGGGGACATGGCTGAGTGACTAAAGCAATCTTCAAAATGGAGATAAATTTAAATGGGAAATAAAAAACCCCCAAAGAACTCCATTAATTTGATTTAAAAATCAAGCAACTCGAAGTTCATGGGTAATAAGCAAATGAGCCTGGCTTAAGGACCAACTGCCATATCGTTTTACACACAATCTGTTTGGAAATCTCACAATTTCTTGCCGGGAAAGGAAAAGCCTGGAAACCTTGGCCATCATCAATTCTGCATAAAAAGCCAAGTGAATGAATTGAATGGAGTGACTGACTGACGGACCTTCTCCCCTTGCAGATTTTATGCACTTTTAGTTAACATAAACCCCGAGCTGCTGCCCCTGCATATATACATATCTTTCTATATATATTTAACACTTGACTGCCCCGACTGACACCTAACAAGAGGAAAGCCCCTCTTGCCTAGAAGCCATTGTATCGGATACTGACAGGCAATCAACACAAATCGATCAAATCAACCGGCAAGGCAGCAGCAGCAGCAGAAGGCTCCAAGTCGGTTCTTGAGTCTTTTGTGGCCACAGCCAATTTGGGAAGCGGGTTCAAGATCCCCATCCACGTTACCCGAGTGACAAACAGACAGCCGGGGGAGAAATCCAAGACCAGGGGACACCAGTTGTCCGCGGACATTTTATACTGGCACGCCAGAAACGTCGGGGCCCAGATCAAATAAATCAGCGTAAATTGCATGTGAAATTAATGCAAAAGCGGCGATCGCCTCGGCC